ACAATATTTTGCCGGAGTCAGGGAACACCAGTGTCACTGAAAATTCTGTCAGAAACTATAATCTAAGTAATGAATCCAACAACTCCAAAGAGGAGGAGGGGGTGTCACAGCATGGGATGTCCTTTTCTCAACAGCTTGTTACTTAACCCTAGAACAAGTTTAAAACCTAATTATTATTTCTTTCACCTTCTACCACTCCTAAACTTGCAAATATAACTCATCAATCCCAAGCATGCATTAGATTAATGAAAGCTCCTTAAAAATTTTTCTTAAATTGCATTTCTTATACTCTGATGGTATACATAAGGTAGAGGGTTTTATTTTCATTTACCACAATTACTAATATTGAGAATATCTGGGTTTTTTTAAGAGATTCATGTTTGTCGTACCTGTTAGTTATTTAGTGATTAAGTTTTCAACTACCTAAAGAATTTTAAAAGCATTTGTTATAACAGCAAGGCACAAATTCTCTACTTCATCTTAGCAATTCATACCATTAACATACTTCAGTTGAAAATTACATTAGTTTTATTAGCTTATTATTAAGTGGGCTTAAAACAATACACTGATAAAGGATTAAATTAATACACATTTTGGTTTTGCTATCTACGTGAAAACCACTCCGTAACTAAAGAGGCAGTTAACATAGAGGAAATTGTTTAATGCCTCTCATGGCCTTCTTCTTAGTTGTTTAGGAATGATTAACATACACAGTACAAGGCTCCTATAGTCTCAGCTATGAACAGCATTTATTATTAATATTTCCCAACACTTGCTAGGCAAAAATTCCTCTTTCTGGAACAGTTAACTGGTTCAGACTATTGCCTTAAGAGACCACAGAAAACAGGACTCCGAGCCAACTCAGTGTATAAGATAAGATAAAGAGGGTAGGTCCTTTAATTTCAGGCCTGAGGCCCACAGGAATATGTGGGCCTCCCATGTCCACAGGGTTCTACAATTTAAGGTGTTAACCCATCCAATCCCAGATTTATCCACCCCCCAGCACCACCACCCCCCCCGACACGCCCCTCTGGAAATTGAGGTGGGGGCTCTGGGACCCCCTCTTCCTCAATCTCCTCTTCATCACAGAACGTACAGTCCTTGGAAGCCCTTCAAAGTTCTGGGCTTGAAGGTCGCTTTGCCTGTGTGATATCTTGTTGTCCAGGCCAGGGTGCAGATGTTCTTAAACAGAATGAAGGGAGGGAAGTCTAAACAAGCTAACGGAATTAACGGAATTTTGAGGGAGTGATATGGAATGGGGTAACAATGTTGGGAAAACGTGTAAACTACTGTGCTAAAGGGTGAGGGATATAATACAGCTACTTTAAAATCTACATTCACTACATAACTACTTCTAAAGTCTATAAAAATTTTAAAAAATCAAAAACTCTAAAGCAACAACACTTTAGAAAAAACTTATTTCAAACCTTCTACAATTCCATTTTGGCAGAACCTACAGAGGAGCCTGACATGCAGCTAAGGGGCATTGCTGGAGGGAAAAGGAGGAAGAAGAGGCCAATTTGATAGGGAGATGGGGTAGAAAAGACCACGAGCTAAGAACTAAGATGGGGTAAGCTTGAGTTTCCACGCTCCCTCCACTCACTTCATGCTCTTTCTGTAGAAAGGAATGGCAGAGCCAACCTATCTTGCCTCAAGATTGCTCCTCATTAGCCTTATCAGGAGCTGTAGGCACAGGACACATTGGTGGCTAGGGGACTGAGAAGAAAAGGAAGCCTTTCATTTCGTAGTCGTCATGGTAGCTTCAGGCCAGCAAGGATAATTACAGCTTGCTTTTGCCATTCTGGCTGAAAATGAATCACAAACCCAAGACACCAAGTTTGGTAATCTCTGCTGAGTTCTACTTTGTACAGCTATTTATATCAGGCATGTGGCATGGTCAGAAACCTCAGGATATTCAGACATGGTGGTATTATTAGAACAAATATGGAGGAGAACTGCATTGTGTTTTCAGTTCTGCCTTTAGCTGGACAGTTTACAAACGCTGTGGGAAAGCAGGATCGACATGTTTGCGTTCTGTTCACAGTGCACCTTCACTGGCACCTACAGGAGCCTGACAATCAAATGAATCAACTTTGTAGTGGGGCTGAACAGGCTTTGCCATGACAAGGCTATGATAAATTGAGGGCACAGGAATTAATTTCTCCAGTGACAGAGAACACATGCTGTTTCTGTACGGAACCACCCTCCAAGTTATTTCTCTTCTTGCTCTTCAAACTCTTTTAAGACACTGAATCCACTTTTCCAAGGCACACTCAAGTAAATCAGCCCAATATTTCAAAGGGAATTTCATGAAACCCAGCCACAGTTACTAGTAAACAAACCCCTTTCTAAAAGGCAAGGCCCTCAAAGGGCCTATTCCCTCATTTTCTGGATATCAGTCATGTTTTCAGAAGCAAAAATTCACTAAAAGGGTGTATTGAGGTTTATGTTAATGAGCAAAAAAGCAGAAGATTCACAAAAAATGCTCAAATATTTGCACAAAAAATAAATGTGAGGTTTGGGGAGTTTTCCTGAGGAATGGCATGACCTTGGTAGCACCCTCACCCAAAAATAAACTGCACTAGAATCTTCCCAGGAGTAACAGCAGCACTGAAACAGACCTGATAATGAAGGGGCAGGCTTAGGGGTAGAATTCCCTGACAGTCGTAAAATATGTGCCTCAAAACTTAAGCTCTGGGCTGCTGGCCTGACTTACAAGAAAAAAATCAATAACCAAAGTAAATTACTCTCAACAACTAAACCAAAGTTGTTTACAAAGCATTCTAAATTTCTTACATCTTGGACTCTTGTTAGTAGTACTTAGAAAAGAACTGCAAAAAATATTTAATGCATTCTAAAATTGTCAAGTAGTCTTACCTGGTACAACTAGGAGACCCTTTTCCTTCACAATTTATCTTTGTTTTGGAGAGAATGAAAACTTGTCTTATCCAAAGTGTCAATTGACAATTTAAAAACCCAAAGTTTTAAAGAAATTGTCCTTGGTAAAAACATTTGCATAATAACAATAAGTAATTCTTCCAAACAGATTCTCCCAATGACAAGTTTTGCAGGCAAAGATGAAGATTTTTCTCAGTGTATGATGCCATCTGTGAAGGGCACACCGTTTGAAACCCTCTGCTTGTATGCAAGGTAACACCACCACTGTGAGACAGCGGGACATCTACAGCTCTGTCACTCTGATGCTGCTAAAGCTGTACTCACTGAGCTGTCTGCCACTGATTTCAGGAAAATAAATCAATAAACAAAACCAAACTGTGCAAGTCAAACTTTGACCCCATTCACACAATCAAATTTTCGAACTCTCTAATATGGCACTCTGCTTCCAAATGTAAGAATATGAAAGAGTGCTGGAGCGAAGAGCATTAAATTGATTGACAAACGTGCAAGGACCAAAAACAAAGCCAAGAGGATTTCAATTTTCGCAAGCTATGTGTTTCAGGAATAAAGTTTCCTTTATATTAAGAATGTTTTACTGTATTTTTGGCAATCTAAATGAGTGTACTACCATCCCCACAACAAGAATCAGCTGATCAACTAGGACATGTCTCAAGTCCCTTGACATGGATTGGGGGGAGGGAGGGAATCCATATAGAAATTATTTTTGTAAGTCATTAAAGGATGAGCCATTCTAAAACATTCAGTTAAGAACACACTTATGCAACTACTTTACCCCCCCTCCCCAAAAAAGCAGCCTTTATAATTTCAGGTTCATAGTACAATGTGTATATTCATTTTCACATTATCTGTTTAGATTATTGTGCACATTTTATTGTTGGCATTTAAAGGATTCTAATGAGATAACACCACTGACAGCTTAATCTTTATTAAACTGTTGATACAAGATGATTCTTTTAGCATAAAGTCAGATGAAGACATTACAAAAATTATATAGCTATTCATAGATTGCAATAAACTATTAAAAAGAACATTCTCTTTACAAGATTGGTCTTTTATTTACAATTAGAGACCAGAAAAAATGAGGGGTTTCTTTCACAATATTTTAGTAAATTAGCATTTAAATAATACTTGAGGCACTTTTCAGAGATTATTAAAAGCTATGAACAATTAGATCACTGAGAGTTGAATCTGAAGAACATGTCTCCGATATTAACTGTTACATATGACAGTATTACTACTAGTTGCTTTTAAAATCCAGGTATCTGGAAGGTTAAAGAGTTTGTAAAACACTGAAGTCAGCTCCAAGCTTTCTGTCTGTCTATAGTAACAAGTATGTTTCTCATATTTTTCACATACAAATGATTGTTTATGTATGAATTAAGCCTCACAACATAACTCGAAGGTAGGAAGTGCCAGTACCCTTCATGCGGAGTAGAAACAGATTGTGACTTGCTGAAAGGAAGAGGAAGCATGAAGTGGACAACTCCATGGGCTGTCATCCCATTTCACAATACAGCACCTCTGATATTGATCCAGCACATTGCATTATTCTAAATACCATCGAGAACAACCTATGTTCCCAATCACAAGACCTAAACACGGAGCAGACAGGTTTTAAAAAAGATCTGTTGTACTTCAATTGCTTCTCATCAGTCAGTATAAAACCTTTTGTTACTTTACAGAAAAATCACATCATATTTCTGTCCCTGGACTTGCCAAACACATTAAAATAACACAAGTCAAATTCTGTTCTACATATGTCCACAGCCAATGGGATAGAAATTCTGGCTTCTGATTTCTCCTTCTCCCGCGGACAGGAGAGCTTTGCATTTTCCACATTCCACCCTACACGTAGTCTCTCTACTTTGTGCAAAAAAATAAAAATAAATAAAAGTATGCTGCTATAAGTGAGAGAGCTAAAATGCATTCATGGTCTCAAGCCAAGGGCACAGGGCACATTTGATTTGAAATATTAAGTTCCTTGATCAGAAATTTAAAATAATCAGACGAGCTACTGGGATAGATGGATGGATAGATGGATGGATGGATGGATGGATGGATGGATAGATGGATGGATGGACGGATGGATGGAAGAAAGCTGTTTTCAGTGGGAAGTCTTTTCTTGTTTCTTCTGGCAAATGGACCATCACAAAAAAAAGTTCACCCACAAGTATCACAGTTGTTCAGTATCATATCCCAAAACGGGTCCAAGCCATTTCTCCACTTCTGCAACAGACAATTTTTTTCTCAGTGCATAATCTTCAACCTGCAAAGAGACCACAAAACATGATGGAGATTTTGGAACTCCAGCTTTTAGTATTTACAAATTTTTTAAGACATCTCCTAATTAGATGTTTTTAAATGTTCTAACACTACTACAATGAACAGTGTAAGTTACCTGATCTTTACATATCTTTCCAACAGCAAAATATTTGGAATTGGGACTGGAAAAGTAGAGGCCAGAAACTGCAGAAGCAGGTACCATTGCTAGTGATTCCGTTAAACCAATTCCTGGAAAAGTGAATGAGAATCCTCTTATTCTTGAGAACAATTGAGAATAAGCTCAAATTCAAAACCTTTTTTGTGTTGGACAGCTTCAAGCAAACTCAAAAAACCGAAGAAGTTTTCAGATGAATTAAAACAAAAACCTTTTTCCATTTGTTAACTATTAAAAAAACCCACAGACCTTTAAATATACTTTCATTATGATTACTGTAAAGTCACTGTACAGTTTGAAGGAAAAAACCTGGGAGATTTTGGCAAGAGGTTTTGAAACACAGGAAGGTATATTTTTGGAGCAGTGAAACATCTGACATGTAAAATATCAGAGGAAAACAAATGGAATTCATTCCCTTTTAAGAATTACCATCTCAAGGTTCCTGTGGACCAGGATACACACTGCTGAATTGGCTTTTTTTTCCTGTTTATATCTGGAATGTCTTCTTGCAACCATAAGGATGCTAGAAATTTTCTCTGTGCAGCAGAACCCTGTTTGCATGTAATCTGCTACTTAGGGACACAACTCCTTCACCAAAAGCACTGACAGTGTTTTTAAAATTCTTCCTTGAATGAGGCCAAATAAAAATGGCAATGAAAAGGGGAAGAGAGCAAATCCTAGAAGCACATCAGTATTTTATGTAGTTCTGCACCACCCAATTCACTGTATTTTTGGAATGTAAATCTTTCATTCACATAAAAACAGTTAAAGAATCTTAGTAAAGCAGAGTTACCTGTTGTTTCCTCAATGTTTGCAAGTTTCCACATGGTGAGTTTTTCTGTATGGTCAGGCTGGCTTGGATATCCAGGGGCAGGGCGAATTCCCTCATATTTAATTCTGCGTAGGTCAGAGAGATTGAGCTGCTCAGTACTACTGTAAGCCCAGAATTCCCTTCGAACCCTTTCATGGAGCTCCTCAGCAAATGCCTTGGAATAGAATGAAAAGATTTTTTTTTTTTTATTTTGCAAAAAATGATGCAATATGCAAAATGATGCAGAATGATGCAATAGCTATTTAAGACAAACAATGTCTTAGAGACTTTCTCCCCTTCCCATTTTAATTTTTAAGGGAGCTTTTAACATTGGTGAGAAATTTGATAGAATTTAAATTCACATGCAAAACTTATTTTGCTAACTCAAGTATTTTAGTTTCTTCTCTTATTAGTAGATAGTGGTTTTTTGATTGTCCTGCTTTAAAATCCTACATACTCAAAAGATGTGGACAAGTAACCTAAAAAGTAACCTCATTAACCTATGGTAGTGACATATCATTATAGTCACTAGGTCTTGACCATCTGTGTGTCTCATCCAGGTCTAGCTATGGAAGGCTACATCATTCTTGCATCCATGCTAGGATCAGATATAAGTATGCACTGCTGCTCTTTTTAGCAGAGGTCCTTTCCTCTAGCTGAAATTGGGCAACAACTTTTCTGAACTGCTATTTTGCCAGCAACAGTTGCCCTTCAGGAAGAATTCCTACTTCAGTAAATATCTTTAGATGGCAACTAATCCTGATTTCTGAAACTCTGCTGTAGCTTGAAATACACACCTAGAGCTAACCCCACTTGCACTGCACTGAAGTGGCTGTAAGTTTGCTGAAAGTTGCAAGGAAACCTCATACCTCTGCCAACCGATCGCCGAGAGCCTTTACCATTATGATGTTGTATTCATCATCCTGTTTCCTAAATTCATTGCATAACTCATCTACACCAAAGCAGGCCACAGCAAACAGGCCTAAGTAATCACAAATGCCAGAGTCCATCGGTGCTATAAAGTCAGAGAGGCAGTAATATGGATCTGTGCAGGCAGAGTCCTTTTCAGCCTAGAGTTAAAAAATCAGTGCAATAAATCAGAACATTTAAAAATACAATATTAGTGCACTACTAAGCTAAAGACCAGTATTTTTAAGACTAAAGGTCTTAAGGCATTTCTGAGAAATGCCTAACTAGTCTTTGAGCCACTTTGAGTGGCTTTCCTGTAGTTAAATTAGAAGGAAACCACCTCTCTCAGAGCGTGTTCAGACCACTGAAGAACAAAACGCCATAGAAGAGATGCTGCGCCGAACACACATATAGAGATATTTTATTTCTGTTTACAGCCAGTAAGATTTATCAGCTTATACTGTAGGTTCAATCTTTGTATGGGCCTTTCACTTCAGAGTTGGACTTGATGATCCTTGTGGGTCCCTTCCAACTCAGAAGTTTCTGTGATACAAATTATTACAAAATAAGGAACACTCTTGTGCCAACTGGGTAAGAGGAGGAATAATTACTCTCTACCCCTCACAGATTCCACATTTGCTAGCAAAACTGATGGTTGATAAGCAAACAGGAAATTCTTCAGCAATTCCCTCTATAGAATGGCTGTGAGAGTTTATAAACACTCCTGGTTTCTCATGGTACAAACTATGTGCTCAGTAATCCAGACAAAACTGTGCCCAGGATGCAGACCTTACAGTAGTCACACATACAAACAAACAAAATTGATCTATCACTACTGAAAAGTTGAATTCTAAATGAAGTTCAAGTGGGTTTTATGCAAAGGAAAGTGGCCCAGAGGGAAAGGACCTGGAGGTGCTGGTCGACAGCTGGTTGAACATGAGCCAGCAGTGTGCCCAGGTGGCCAAGAAGGCCAATGGCATTTTGGTCTTAGCAGGAACAGTGAGGCCAGCAGGACTAGGGAAGGGATTCTTCCCCTGTACTTGGCACTGGTGAGGCCGCACTTCAAGTACTGTGTCCAGTTCTGGGCCACTCGCTTCAAGAAAATCATTGAGGTGCTGGAGCAAGTCCAGAGAAGGGCAAGGAAGGTGGTGAAGGGTGTGGAGCACAAGTCCTACGAGGAGCAGCTGAGGGAGCTGAGGTTGTTTAGCTGGGAAAAGAGGAGGCTCAGAGGAGACTTTATCGCTCTACAACCACCTGAAAGGAGGTTGTAGCCAGGTGGGAGTTGGCCTCTTCCCCCAGGCAACAACTGATGAGATGAGAGGGCACAGTCTTAAGCTGTGCCAGGGAAGGTTTAGGTTGGACATTAGGAAGAAAGCCTTCACAGAAAGGGCAATTAGACATTGGAATGAGCTGCCAGAGGAGGTGGTGGGGTCACCACTCCTGAAGGTGTTTAAGAAAAGACTGGATGTGGCACTGAGTGCCATGGTCTAGTTGACATGGTGGTGCTGGGTCACAGGTCGGACTCAATGATCTCAGGGGTCTATTCCAACCCAACTGATTTTGCGATTCTGTGGAATAGGAAATATACTGCTCACTGGATCCTTTTCCAAAAATGGAAAAAAGGTAACAGAAAGAGGTGACTAAGCATCCAAAAAGAAATTTTGAATCATATCATGTGGAAACATGATTGTTATTTAAGAAGTGGCACAGATCTTGTAAATCTACCCAACTTAGAGAGAGAAAAGTTATTTCATGGCTATCACTTAGCTGAAGATTCCTATTCTATGACAATATTTTAACAATGCTTTCCACTCAATCCCAACTGCATCTTAAAAGCACCTTCAACCCTGAAAAACAAAGAAAAATGGCCTGTTAACCCACTAGGTTAATACTATAAAGTACTATAACACCAAAGAAATATCCTTTTTCCACACAGATAAAATCTATGTTAATTTTGAGGTTCTTTTGTAATTATTAGAGTTAAGGAAAATATGAAATGGATCCCCAACTTTTAGATTTATGTCACATCCTTAACAGTGTCAATGTCATGAACTCAACTCTCTGTACTGAAAGAAAAATTTTATATAAGAAACAGAAGACAATTATTCACTTCTACTTTGCTCTGGTGAAGACTCTGCTGAATTACTACATACAACAGACTGGAAGAGATGCAGCTAAAATATATAGAGTCCAGAAGAGCAGTATGCACAATAGCACAGAGTTTCATGGCCTTAACCTTTGAGAGAAGCCTGAATAACTGGGGATATATAAGATAAAGAAGACTAAGGAAAATAACAGTATTCCAATAATAAAACCCTTTACAATAATATTATCAAACCAGATATTCTTCTTGGGAGAACCCTGGGAAAAGGCCAGGAAAAGAAACAGTAGTAAACATGATTTACATGGGATATCAAAATATTTAACTAGGCCATAAGGCTCTGGAACAGCCCTGCATGTGTGCTTGTTGAGAGCATTTTATATAAACATCTGCCATGGATTGTCACGATCCATCTCCATGCAACAGATAATCTGTTCCAGGGAACTGGAACAGAAGAACTTCAGTCATGTATTTCTTAGTACAGTCCTGCAGTGTTGGCACATGATTGTCCTTATAGAATACAGTACTCCAGAAATTTAGGTAATCGTTGAAATTTTTTTTCTGACCATGTTTGATGACTCTGAATATGTGAACTATGAAGAAGCCAAATCAGAAGACAAGGAAAAAAAAGGAGAAGCAGAATATCTTGAAAGTTCACTCTATCAAATTAAATGCAAATCTAGGTAAGTATGATTCAAGCATGAATACTTAAAATAATGATTAGCTCAATCAGAATTAGCAGCCAACTAATTCTAAACTGCCCCTCCATACGGTGAATTTTACATAAAAATTAAGACTATCAAAAACACTTATCTCCATTGAGCTTTATTCTCTAGGATTTTTTAATTCTAACTGGGTTTAACCTTTAATACATTCAAGCGGAATTTTTCATCTAAAGCAGAATCCAGGGATATTAGAGAACTAAGGTTCGTTAGGTTCTAATTTAGCAACACATTTAGATCCATGTAATGAAGTTATACAGCACATTGCTTTAGGATATCTTAAATATTAAAATTAAGATGGAAAATGCACATCATTTCTGAAAATATCCAACCTATAAGGCATTTTGTACAACTATTACAGTGCAAAACACTACAAATACTACAGTACAAATACCTGGATCACCACAAACAAGATCTTGTTATTACTGAAAGAAATGGCAAGACAACAGTTGCAGACAGATTACAATGCCCATTTTCTACAGATTTTAATAGAGCACTTCTATTACATTCTTGCAATGCAGTGGAAAAAAAATTCACTTAACAAATGTGCTGTCATTGTACCTGTTGCCTCAAGCCATAAAATTTTGCTATTGGTTCTGAAGATCCCACTGCCTCTTCCACAGCATATAAGTGGATATCATCCTGAACACTTCGAGCTGGCCAGAACCCAACCACACCTCTGGCTTGTAATTTCTTTTGATTAATCAATGTTTTCAGTAGATCTTGCGCATCATTATAAACTCTCCTTGCTTCTTCACCTAGCCAAAAAGAAAATTAAAAAAAAAATCCCTTTAGAAACAGTATGTTTTCACAACTGGCTAAATAGGTTTAAGAATTGTTGAAGATTGATTCACTTTCCACATAATTCTCTGCTGACTGCAGTGATCTGTCAGCTACAGCAAATAGGGAGACTTCAGTGTGATCATGTCTATATAGCTGTAACAACATATATTTTAGGGGGGAAAAAAAAAACAAATGCACAAAATGTTTCAGCCAGCATGTTTCAGACCTGGTGTGTGCACCTACATTACCACAAAGTAGCAGACCCAGAACGTTGTTTTCAGTGTCACCCTTGCACTTTTATCACGTATTTCAAGGCCTACTGACTAGTTTCAAAAGGAGACAGAGCTCTCTTGCCATCTTCACCCACAATGGAAACATAGATATATCAAATGCTCTGCTGCTATTTTCTGTCATTAAAATACCTCCCTGTGCTTTGGTAGGTGAATGCTAAATAAGGTCACTGAACATTTTTCCCCATTTATTTTTCAGCCTCACATGGCAACAGTTAGTTCATCAAGCGTTGCTGTAAACAAATTATTTCAGTGACATTACTTTCCATGTGTTTTCACTATTCTTACGTATTTCAAAACGTTCAGAATCTTAATGCAGCATGGCAGGCTTGCTGGGATTCTTTACATGAAACAAATTTCAATACTCACCCACGGTTTTATCACTAAAGATCTTAGGAAAACTCCGGTTGGGATATTTTCCCCTAAGCTGCCAGACATCAAAGAAGGGCTTCCAGTCAATGTATTCTACCAGCCTCTTCAGGTCATAATCTTCAAAGACTTTTGTGCCGATGAATTTTGGTTTAACTGTAGGAATCAGAAGTACAATTTGACATTCTGAAAATAATTTAACATTGTTCTTATATGTGCTGCATAACTGATGCTCACCAGCCTCCACCACTGCAAATGACCTCTTTCAAATTAATTGTCTTAGAATTCTCATTGTCATATTGTTCCCAAGTCATACCACACTCCATAGTTACAAAAAACATAAAAGGCATATAAAGTTGAAATAGAAAAACTAAGGCCTTTCACATAAATCAAGACTTACTAGCTGTTGGACTTTGGAACTTACTTCAATGGCCAGAATGTTGGCCAAGACAGAACACCGAAAAAAACCTACACAACTTACCAATACCTAACATATTTTATGAGCATATATACCTTTCATATTTACAAATCCCTACACAGAGACATGTTATATGCTATGATACTGCAGAATATTTGTATAATTTTTTATGTAATTTCTAGGAACTTCTGCAGCCACCACACACGCGTTTAGATGCATGTGCTCAAGTGAAAACATGAGATGGATATATGTGTGCAAAGCCACAAGCTTTTCACTTGTTTTCTCTGTGCTGTTCAATACTTTATAACACAATCTTTATCAAGATGACCTATTGAAAGTTAGCATCTTGTTGAGTCTTGTAAATGAAATGACAGAAAGCAGTGTTAATGTCACTGCAGGATGCAACTTCTTGTGGAATGCTGTTTACACTTCTAATCTTTAATTTAAAAGAAGAACAAAATCAAAGCAACCCAGTACAAAAAACTATGGGGGAAGGGTAGGAAAAAGTGTAAGGAGGAATTTCATAGAAATGCCATGTCACAACCTGTGTGCCACATCACAACTATAGCACACCAAGTATGGTGTAGTAAGCTTTGCAATGTAATGAGCCAGGCGGACATTATTTTTCAAAGTGGTCATTAGATTTTTCTTTGACTATATCATGTTATGCATAACTCATTGTTTTAGGATTTTCTTTCCAATTTTTTTATTAAGTTGAAATTTAATTTTTAAATGAGCTGTGAAAAAATAAAGCAGAAACAGATTGCTCAAATTTATGCAAAAAAGATCTTTGCTGAGACAGACCCCAATTTACTCAAGCTGTTACACTGCTATATTCTGAAGTTTAATCAAGCATAATTTCATTAAAAATGTATCTTAAATAAATACATTAAATAAACAAAGGCACAGCAACAACAAACAACAACATATAAACTGACCTGGTTTATGGCCTGATAACCAGTCATTATGGAAACCTTTTCTTCTAGCTTGCTGTAGAGACAAGTATCTTCTTTCCTGTACAGATGTAAAGGTAATTTTAGAAAGCCAGCCATCTTTCAGACACATAAACTGTAACTGTTGACTTCGTGGTAGAGTTCAAAATACTCTTCAGAATAAATGTGACAACCAATAATTTCAGTCCCAACAATTCCAAGTTCACAGGTGTAAAGTAAGATTACTCCACAACCATACCATTATTTTTTCCTGTATACTTCTAATAAACCTGGTCTACAAGATTTCTATTTCCTCTGAACTACAGCAGAGGTTCCTTTATTACTTCAAAATACACTAAAATACAGGTACAGCAAGATATTCTCCTATTGCTCAGATCCCTCACCTAAACAAGACTAAGACATTAGGAAAGCATGGTGTTTTAAAATACAGTGTGGCTCAGTACCAGCAAAAGCCACCAGTGCCATTTTTGTTATCCTGGTTGTAGCTCCCCGTTTTCAGCTACTGCTCTAGGAGAGCACAAATCTCCTGTAGGTTGACTGCCAGCTCCATGGAGGTGTCCTAGATACCATTGCTTAGCCACTGATGACAATCAAGGATTTGCCAAACATGTTAGACTCATGCAGAATTTTCCCTTATAGGTTAGAAAATTTGATTTCATAAGCATTTCTGGAAGTTTTCAATCAATTCTACTGCAAGTTTTAAATGAGAACAAATACACCTGAAGTTCTTCATAAGGAGCTGAAACCAAGAGTAATGAGGCAAGTGCCAACCACTTCAAACAAGACACTAAATCAATTACATTTGTACCTTGAGAGACTCATAATGTTCTTGTCTAATTTCTTCATATTCCTCTAATATTTCTTCAAAGAAATCATCCTTTACACTACTGTCTAAGAGCTGGGAGCACTGAAAAAAACAGGAAAGAGAAAGCAGTAAGTACATACTGTAACATACTGTAATAAGGACAGAGTATGAATTTCAGACTAAGCAGTCTCTTTTTGGACTCACTTCCAATTACACTTGGCAACACTAAACTAAGCCTTACCAATAATCTGCAAACTAGATTCAAACTATTCAAACTATCCATATTTGGAATATGAGTACTACTGAGAGCACTGCCCTACTTCACAGGTAATATTAGCAGAGCCAAGTCTGGCTCTGAAAAGACGTGATAGGGAAATACTCCAAAACTTCAAAAACTAATAGTCACAGAAACAACACGCTGCTTGGCCTACTTCTTACAAGCAAGTATTTGCCAGCTAAGACCACCCATTTCTCTGAAAGAGAATCCAGCCCAAAAAACTCCAGCCGCACATTTCTCTTTACTAATGTTGCCATCTAACTAACTTCAGAAATATATCCAAACTAGAGAGAATAGCAGTTCATATCTAACTCTATTGCTCTTCACTATAAAATATCTCAAAACTACAGCCAAGGACTCAGAGTTAATGTCACCCTCACTAAAGAAATGTGACATTTAAATAAAAGTACCTAGTGACAATAACTGACATAAGTCAGGTGAGAGAACTACATGGTAGAAAAAAAACAACTGAAGCAAGAGTAGTTTAGAAACTTGTCTCTGTCATGCTTCTTCAATTTTCTGCTACAACATTAAGCCTTAGAGGAAGGAGGAGAGGCACAACAGAAAAACAGGGCACGTATTTTTGCATGGATGAAAAACTATAATTTAGAACTTACAACCACAACACTCTTGGATGCATCCAGGACATGAATTACAGGTGCGCTATATCGTGGGGCAATTTTAACAGCTGTGTGTGTTCTTCAATGAAAAAGAAAAAGAGTGAGCATTTCACAACTGACACAAAAACCCAACAAAAACAAAAAACCCAACAAAAACAAACAAAACCCCCAGTGAAATAAATCCTGACTTAATCATAGACTAGAACTTCAAAAGAAGAAATTCGTTTGTCCATCTGCTACATATGAATCATTAAACACAGATTTTAATAATAGGTACATAAACACTTTTCTTCAAAGATTATCAGAACACTCCATAAATAACGTGCCAACTCACATTCCCTCACTGTCTTACCAGCTGAATGAAAATCAGCAACTCATTAGTTTGAGTCTCAGAAAATTTCAGTGACAATGTTCCAAACTAAGCCTACCAAGAACTAACAATTTTTTTAATCCCTTTTGCTCATCTTACATTTTTCCCTCCCACATGCTGGGTCTATAGATTAGCATTAACCTAATTCAGTGATGATTATTCCATTTCTGCGAGGCTCTCCTTCAAAACTGGAGGCTCAAGTCCTCTACTCACCTGAAGCAGGAATTCTGCCAGTGGTCAATAAATATTACAAACTTGCATCTTGAAGATACAGTGAACCTTGAATTATAACTATAGGAGCAAGAAGGATTGGTAGTGATCCTACTTCTCCACTGTCTGTCAAATTATGAGAATTTGCTAAAGCTATAAATATAGAACATAATAGGTCTGCTACAACATGTGCTGGTCTGATAAAGAAAGGAACACTGCTAACAGCTTCTAGTGATGAAAGAACCTCTACTCAGAGTCCTGTCAAAACTCTGCAAGCAAGTGTAGGAATAAAGACCTTATAGGCCAAAGCCCTGTTTGCTTTCTTGTATGCTAAGGTCAAACACCATTCTTTAAATAAGATCTAAATCTGAGTCCAGGAAGCAACCTTCCACAGCTGAAATAAGATCTCCTTTTTCTTCAGGTTCTGTCAAATATTTAAAGCACTTGAACACAGAGGTTTACTGATGACTTGCAATACAGCTGCGTAAACACTGTTCAGCATCTTCTGAATTTGCTGCTAGGAGACACACTTCTGATCTTGGCAGCAATATGTTTTATGAAGATATTTTATCTTCTCTTCTGATAGGAACAGACAAAGGAAACAAAGAGGACATGGTCCTACAATGGCACTGTATCAACCACTACATATTAATTTATATATTTTTTTTAAAATAAACTTTACCACAGAGAGAATGTCACTATTATTTCTCAGCATCTGAATTTACCAAAGCAGCACAGTAAGAATGCAAACATCATCATTACTGTAAATTATGAAGAAACTCTATTGGGCAGATTCTGGAGACAAAATCCATCCTCTCTCTTTCAAACTAACCTCACATTACACCCTTCAAAATATTTATGGTCTCCTTATTCCAAATAACAACATCTACTTTTCACAGAGAAAAAAAAAACAGTAGATGGTTCTTCATTAGCAACCTCTGACACATACACAATGTTTGAGAATGTACACATGAGGTTAAGCTTAAGACTGGGAAAGTAAAATTAAATATATATTACGAATCCAGTCTTCCATATAGAATACCTTTACTTGACATATATTTTATAGACACTGTGTTGTGTCTGGGCACATGCATAAGTGTATATTTATATACAGTTGACATAAATAAAATTACTATTTATGTATTCAAAATTATGTATATATTCCTCAGTAATTTCCATATTCAAGGATAAAACTAGTGCTACCTCCCTCTTAGCTACATTCATCTCTGTGAGTAAATTCTACAAAATTGTTTGATGGTGGTTACTTGACATGGATTACAAGACCACAATGCCTCGTGTGAAAAAACTGAAAAGATCTGAAGAAAGGGTTCTCCTAAGACCTCCACTTAGAATAAAGCCTTCCCTTCACTCCACTCCTGCTTTTTTTTTTTTTTTTAAGGAAAAACCCTCCATGTTTGTTGTCAGTATCAAAGTCGTAGGAAGAGACTCACAGGGAGAAGGAGAAAAAGAATACAGTGAACCTTGCATTATAATTACAGGAACAATAAAGACTGGTAGTGATACTACTCTCCACCATCTGTCAGATTATGAGACAATGTGCTAAAGACAGAAATACAGAATAGGTCTGGCTACAGTATGTGCTGCTCTGATAACAAAAGCAACACCACTAACAGCTTCTAGTTACACAAAAAATTACCTCTGCAGTCTTCTGAGCTGTCACCTACTCAAGCATACTGCAACCTAAACGAGTCAGCAAAGCGTGACCCAAGGCCATTATACGTGCCCAAAACACATCTGTGGTAATGTTACGACTAGGTGTCAGTGAGCTGTCAACACTGATCTTCAGGAAATCATAGCAGCTCTATTATTTCATTTGAACAGATCTGAGAGAACAAGATCTCAACAGAAAAGCTCAGTCTATCAAATGCAATATGCTAAGTACTTCAAAGCAAGCAGCTAGAGTTTATCCCCTATCAGCCTGTTTGAACAGGACTGGAGACTCAGCCCAGTCATCACCTTTCTAAACAATGATTCAGGAAAATACAGTAACTTTCTTAAAGATAATAGCTCCCTGATGTCAACATGATCATTTCTAGTCTCAAAATCCTGCATTTCTGGAATGCTTTGATGAATCAAAGTAGAACATTCAAGCTGTTGGAAGAACAGAACTGTATTCACATGCATATGTGCATGAACTTTTAGAGGAAATACAGTACTTCCACATACAATATACACTTGCAAAATACACACTCGTAAAAATTAAATGTTTAAGATGTCCATTATTTGTTATGTCCTGACTACATTTTACCTCTGTATTCTAGGATTTCTAAGACAAGAAGTAACTGTCAATCATAAGTAAATACATACCAGTATGTATGTTACAGAAGAATGGGCAAAGGGGTAAAAAAATGGCTGTAAATTTTCTTTTTCCCTAGTTAACACTATTTTCACAGATATTGCCCATATTCCCAACTGAGATATCTTACTTAGAAGTAGTTGCTCCTCCAATCAGCAAAGGAATCTTTATTGCCAATCTCTCCATTTCCTTAGCGACAAAAATCATCTCATCCAAAGATGGGGTGATGAGACCAGACAGGCCAATTATATCTATTGCAAATTTACAAACACACATACACAAGGGGTTTAGCAAATCCATTCTAGAAAGACACAGAAATTATTACAGAAAGGTTTATATCATACATCAGATAACTTCATGTGTCAGAAAATAATGAGATAAAAAGCAGGGTAGTCATGAGCCTATAAGGAAGGTTTGACCCAATTAAAAAGTAAAAGCTTTCCAAGAATGACAATGATTCCAAATCCCCAGTTTAAGATATTTCCCAGTCTTCACAGTTGCTGAACATCTACTGCTCTGGTTTCAACAATAAATAAACAGTACTTTTGATTAGCAAACTCCAAGCCTCAGAAGCTCAGCACTGAGGAGTGAAATAAGACACAATAATTATAAGCTCTGCTCTTGGAAACGCTTTCAAACTTCACCATCTATGTTCCACACAATTCATCTTTTCCAAGATGCAGTAGACTGTTTCAAAGCAACTGCAACTTGTTTCAGAAAGTTCATTATTTATTACAACAATTAATTCCTGCTTTCACACTCACTGATCTGGCAAGCCAAACGCCAAGTTCTTTCACTGCTTTAAGACCCAACAAGGAGTTACCTAAACCATTTCAAGGCTCCATTTATCCATCTGTAAAACAAATACTAAAGCATCTCTCATGGAATTGTCCTTTTGATACAGGGTTTCAACTCCTCGGACTAAGTTTCACAGAAGTGCCAAATGCTAAATAATTAATATTGTTAATGCAGCAGTTCTGATTTCTCTGAAGATAGTCTGATCAAATCATAGACAGCATAGGAATGCAATAAGCAGCAATAAAAAATGCAAGTGTGGTTTAAAAATCAAACAATTCAGAAGTACTAATGAAATCTCTCTATACCTGCTTTGTTCTCAACAGCAGCTCTCAATATCTTATCACATGGAGTCATAACTCCTAAATCAATAACTCTGTGAAAAGAAGTGAGATGACACACGATCCTTTAAATAATAAATAAAATATCTGCTAAAGGGCAAATACATTTCCTTTACCATAAATAACTGACCTAAAATTGAAGTTAAAATTGAGATTTTTGTTTGTTTCCCTTAAGACCACTTTTGGGAATTTTAATATAGGAAACATCTCTGGGTCTGGCAAAATTTTCAATAAGTCAGAGTTCCAGATGGCATAGTAGTTAAGAAAATTCAAGTGTAAGAGGCTTTTTATTTTAGTTAAATAAGTTTTTGTGGTTGCACTAAGTCTGGCTGAGATGAGTTAATTTTCTTCACAGCAGCTGGTATGGTGCTGTGTTTTAGATCTGTGACCACAACAATACTGCTAACATTCTAAAATTTAACAACTGATGAACAGTGTTTTCCCAGCATCAAGGCCTTCTCTGTTTCTTACTCTAACCCCCCAAGGAATAGACTGTGAGTAGACACAACCAGACAGAAGACCCAAACTAACCACAGAAATATTCCATGTCATATGATGTCAAAGCTCAACAATAAAAAAGGAGAGTAAGGGGTTTAGCAGGGGTTAGCCATCTTTGACTCAGGAACTGGCTAGGCACCAGTGTACCCATGGGAGGTGCAAGGGGATTGCCTTTGCATCACTTGTTTTAATTTTCTCTCTTCTTTCACTTCCTCTTCACTTGTTAAACATTCTTCTCCCCTCACAATTTTTCTTGATTTCATTCTTCCTTTCCTCTTTCCCCATCCCACTGAGGTTGGCTGGGTGGAAGTGACTGGCTGGTGCTTAGCTGCTTACCAGGGCTGTCAACAGCAGAGGCATTTCTGACATTATATGGATAACATAAAAAGGTTTTGTGGACATCATATATTAGGAATATAAGATGATTCACATCAAAGTTGTGCCTTATTAAAGTGTACATTTTATGAAATGAGACACTGCACTTCCCTTATTACCATTTTAATCCTATTAACCCTAGCCATTGCTAAGGTTTTTATTTTTTCAAGTAAGCCACCCCAGCCTGTTTTCATTCAGCCTCACTCACACTACTCATGGTGACAAAAAACTCTATGGCTTCAGTTCAGTAAGTGTAAATAAAGCTCAAGAAAGCCTGAAACCAATCGATAGAATTTCAAGAGGAAATTAAATTGAATATATTGCATATACACAGCACTGCTACTGCCTTCAACAGTTTTTGTTTTAAAATAAAGGGATAATTTTGGCTCTTTTTAGAGCAAATGACAACCCAAAGTCAAAGCAAAACTAAAGGAATGAATGATAAGACAGAATTCCAAAGGTGATTCAGCTTTGTGCAACACCTGACAGACCCTTGACAAAGGGCACTGATGGGAATGCGACCACTCCCTCCAACACTGTTGCCAACCCTGCTGCACATAGACAGGCCATGAAAGACCTGACTTTTTTTGAAGTTCTAACTTTTGAAGTTCAGAAACTCACCTCTTATTTAATAAAACATACCCCAGCAAGTTTTTAATCCTCATAATTAACAAACAGCTTGAAAAACACACTAGAAGTTTCATTCTAATCTTACAAGACTTTCTTTTTTCTCAATGCAACCCACACACAGTACTGCCCACTGCAATTGTTGTATCTGATTTCTTCAGACATTATACTTATAAGACATCATACTTATTACATTTAACTGATATAAAACAAATACAAAAATTGGTGTTCTTACTTATGTTCCCACTGATGTTAAATTGCATTCACCTCAGATGCCAATTAATTAGGAAACACAGTATTAAAGGAGGAGGCAATACTCCATCTTGCCCCACTCATTAGTAAAGCTGCCATGATCTGTGTTCACAACTTGGGGAATAGAGGACAGTTCCCAAGAAATGCCCACCTCTGTTATCACCACAGCTAAAGCTAGTCTAAGGTATTAATTATCTATGCATATACAGTTGTGTTCACAGTTAGTCTCTTTACCTGAAGTTGTTGCAGCCCAGAACAACTCCCACAATGTTCTTGCCAATGTCATGTACGTCTCCTTTCACAGTTGCTAATACTATTGTACCCTGATAAGGATCCTGCAAATTGAAGAAATAACACAAGAGTTAAATAACTCAGAAGCCTCAGTATGTTTGTACAGATTCTTCAACAGTGCAATCCCAATCCATGTCCCAAATTCCTTTTGTAGTAATTGCAAAGCATAGTGGAGATAATATAGTAAATTATAAAAATTATTTTAAAAGATCCAGGTAATTGAAGCTTGCACATGAATTATTCTTGCAAATTGCATGGATGTTATTCAAAAATCTGTGTTTAAAAAAACAAAATAGCAGATAAAACTATTTCAGATCTGGATAGCGTTTTGTGCAGTGCGATAACTGAACTCCTAAGGTACTTCTGCTCCAAATATACACCTCACCAATAAAGAGATTAAATAGATTAAATATTTAGAACAAAAGGGCATGAATACTCATAATAACATGCCTGTCTCTGCATCAAGATCTATCTTTCAATGTAATGCTGAGAAGAACAAGGAAACAGCAACATTAGAAGGAAATTAGCATTAGAGCAACATTAGAGAAATTAGCAAAAGCTAAGAGACCATTTTTTATGCAAAACAAATAGCAAGGGAGACATTTCAGTGCAGTGATCACACTACTTCAGATTACCCAAGCTGAACAAACGGGCTGGAAGAAGGATCTGCTTGAAGAAGGGAAGCTGTTCTGTCACAAGACGGTCCTCGGTTAGATGGCGTTCAGCCTGACCAAGGGTGCTACCAACAGTGCAACAGTGAAACTTCCCATAGCAGTTCTCCACCAGGACACGGGACATGGCAATACATTTTTAATTGTATAATCACTGTTGTCATTTGGAGCAGCTCCAGGCTGTAACAGTGGTATGTCTGAGTTGGTGCAGAATCAGATGGCAGTAAGCAACTACTTAAATTGTACAGAGCATATTCTATGCAGAACTACAAAATATTTTTCCAGACAGTATCTCATCTCCTTTTCAGATGGCAGAACTGAATGATTAAATCCTTCTATGAAGCATGTCATGTTTCTGGACATCCTGAGTAGCTCTCTTTCTTGAACCTACATTGCCTTCTGTAGTTCCAATATTATGGGTTAAAAACAATCTTTATATATTACCAAGAATAATATTAGTATTTCCCATGGTCCTAACACATTTGTTGAATAAAATCCCTGGATCCCCACCAATGCTGCTGTTTACTAAAATCTATTATTTCCCCAGTGCTTCTGTTTTACAGAAGACCAGAGAACAGGGAAGGGAAGATGGAGGTCTGTAAGTCAGCCATCTCAGTACATCAACAAAAATTTTGCAGCTGAAAATATACTGCTGGAATGTAAGAGGAATTTGGGGAAAGAGATTAATCAAGGACAGGAGAAAAAACAAAAAGTGCTGCCCCACATTGTATCACACCGAATAACTAAAGATGATTTAATTAGTGATTGATATAAAAAAAAATTAAATACAAATTGGATTTGCACACGAGAGGAAGAAAAATCTGGGCTGTGCAGCAAACAGCATAGGCCAGAGCACATGCCACTTTAAATAAACCCTATTTAGGGCACACTGTGATTTCAACTGTCTTAAGCAAGGAGGTCCTCAAGTTCTGGGCACACATCCAAAGGGCTTCTTTTTTTTAATCTTCATAGAGATCCGCAGCCACAGCTATTTATCCTCAAATGTAACTATCAATGCTTTGCCCTTCCTGGCAGCCTGTGACTAAAACAGTCCTGGAGGTTACAGTAGCCTGGGTAACATCAGACAGATCAGTTACCAGAGTCTGCAAATCGTTTTCCTTCAAGTCAACATCTAACTTTGAAGACAGACGCAGTTGCTTTTATCTCACTCCCCAGTTCTCTACACAGTGACAACATACTTTTGTAAGAGGAAGGCTTTACATCCCTTCCCAGCAGAAGGTAGAAGAAGTAGGAGGACAGAAGTCCTGCCTTTTCCCTCCTGTTCTCCTCAGCCACCAGAACATCTACACTCTCTTCGAGAGTGTTTGCTATCTTTTTAAGAACCTCCCAAATTCCACTTCACTTCTTTTAACCAGAGAATTAAGTCCCAGAGGATTCAGAGAAGGTCCTAATCCAGTGCTCAGGGAAGCAATGGGGCAACAATTTTCAATGACTTTAGATAGCATCAGAACAAACTAGAAGGTGCAAAATACCAGCATTGCCATCTGAATTAAAATAAAAGAGAACAGCATGAGCTGGAGAGAGATGACACATAGAAAGGTAACTCATGACACCCAAAGAACAGATCCACTTGAGATACAGCAGAGAAGGCATCCACAAAGAGCATGGGAAAAGAGACCAGGCATTCTCCTGCTTCCATTAAGATTAGTCAGGTTTGATTATCAGCTCATTTTTCTTTCTAAATTATTTACTGTATTTGCTACATTTATGCTGGACAATTACACAACATATCCACAGCAAGTAGAAAGATATCATGTAAGAAGATTTCAAGGGAAGAATTAGGAACCATTCAAAAATCCATAAAAGGGAACCCAAAGGAAATACACAAATATCACAGTTTAGAAAAATTCTGCTGTTCTTCCTTTTTTGTCTGTGTTAAAAACTAGGTTCTGATTAAAGCTATTATCTCTGAGAACTCATGAAGACAAGGTAAGGTTCCACAGGACTAAGAAAACATAAATGTACATCAAACCTAAATCTGATAGAAAAAGACAAGAGAAGAAGAAAAATATTTAACAACCAAAACCATAAGCACCTATCACATTATAAATATAGTAAAAACAGCAGACACGAGTAATATAAATGGGATTTTGTCCGATTCATCTCAACTCTCTTTTCTACTGAATACAGTCTTGTCAGTATGGACAAACAAGGTACATCCTGTATCTTCATTTTTCTGTTCCTCCTATCACATATTCCATTTACCAAACTTGGAAGCAGTTACTTCAAGTATATTCACAGGTAGTTGATAAAACTACTCTCAGGCATCAGCAACAGGCTGCGAAACAGGAACTGCAATAAAGGCCCACAGCAATCCAAAAATCATTGGGTATTTTAAAATATATTTTACATATTAGATAAAAAGTAATTTTCTGAAACTGGTGGCAAAACACACATATGAGAAGACAACTATAGTCAGACCTTGTTTTCATCACACTTTTCCCCTGCAAGTTGGTCATGGCTACACATGCAGTGAGCATACTATTCTATCATAACAAGATCTCTTGAAGTCACAATCTGTGAAGAAAAAGGGTGAAAAAAACTGGTTTGTTTAGCTGGAAGAATGATAAGGGCTATGAAGTAGGGAAGAGTTGAATAAAGAGAAACATGGTGACAGGCTTTGAACATGGGAAAGGGAGTTACAGAGTTCAACGAGGGCAGAAGTAGTACAAGCAAGTGGCAAAATCTGCCATGAAGTTAGAAGTATCATGAATAAGTAACACTAGAACTAAATGCCTACAAAAATACAAGAAATTAAGTTACATCAGTATAAAGGGCCTACAAAGCCTCATGGCACTGATCAGGAAACTTGTGATAACACAAAATCTGCACTTTATGAATTTCAGACCAACTTCAAATTATGCCAAGATTGTCAGTTCGCGTAAGACTGCATCAACTCTCCAGGCAGTAAAAATAATTAGTAATAAATAATTCCTATATTTGTCAGAGCATGCTGTGACAGAGTTACAGACTGTATCTTGCCTCTTCCTCTATGCTGCCTCGTTTGGCTCTCCTTTCCTCTCTTTCTTTTTCCATATAGGGAATAAGGTGGCCAACTGCTTTCTTCATAACTCGAGCAGACTTTATCACCTGCACAGATAAAGGAGAGGGGGCAGAATAAACAATAAAGACAAGGTATAGGAATAGCTTCAGTTTTCCCCTAGCTTTCTCTTATACCCATTCAAGCAATAAATGAAACTTCATTTGCAGACTCAGGTTCCAGTTTGGCAGATTATTCTGTGGCAGCAGGCTGCTGGCTGGGCTAAGGATCTACATGACACTTGCTTGCACAGTGCAGCCTCCTGGACCACTCACAACAGAACTGAAAGCTACAAACAGGCCCAGACTTGGAAGGCGCTAAATGCAGTAATTTTTATTTGGATCTTTTATCTCTCTTGCTCTTTTTCACGGGCTTAGACTTAAAAGCGTGTTTCAAATAAAGCAAAAACACTCAGGAAGAAAGGAAACAAACACATAATCCTACATAAAGAAAGTCAGGTTGCCAAATAAAACATGAAAATTGCTGTTTCTCAGCAGCAACTGAATTTTTACAATTCCTCCTATCTGAAAAAACAGCCAGCATAGAATGTTTTGGCTACATTTTACAATACTAATTTTTGCAAAACAGTAAAATATATGAAATTATTTTCTCATTACCTGAGGCAAAAACATCTTCCCAGCACCAAAAAGATCACCAACAATTTTCATGCCATTCATCAAAGGTCCTTCAATTACGTTTAGAGGTCTAGGATATTTTTCCTGATTTAATCTTGCTTCTTCTGTATCTGCAGTGACATACTTCTCAATGCCCTGGGAAAAAAATTGAGAAGCTTTTATCTTGCTAGAAATACAACTTTCATTTAGTTGCATTCTCCCAAAAAAAGACAAAAGAAATCACACAGAAAGTACAAGTAGATGCTTTAGATACTGATAGTCTTTAAGAATACCTCAAATGTGTATTGAAAATAGGTTTTCTTAGGAAAACAAAACACTACACTTCTTAGGCATATAAAGTTATTCAAAGCAAGTCCCCACTCTTAACAGATTTGTTCATTTTTCTCAACCATGCCATAAGAAAAACCCAACACTCAAAGATTGCTTCCACAGCACAAGTGCCATTCAGTGCAGTACTACTAAAGGACCAAAAAAATCCCTACGAAGTAAAAGCAGTATGTCACAAAGTAAAAGCAGTATGTTTCTACAAACACAGTGGAATAAAATACTAAAGATCGAAGACTTCAACTTGTGAAGTTTAAAGATAAACCACTACAGTTTTTTCTGTTATTGAAGTTAAACAGAGCAGTTAAATATATTATTAATTATTAAGTAATAAATAGCTTGTTAAAGAACAGCAGCTGAAGAACTTTTAAAGGCAAGTATGTCCCTTAAAGTCTTAGCTGAGATCATGTCTCTGAGAGCTGATGGGTAGGACAGTTTTCTGCACAGATTTACCTTTATGAGAGCATATTCCAGCCTTTCCTCCACAGAGCTTTTACGCCACTCATCAGTCTGTACAACTTTCTTTCCTCCTTGGGCATGATTCTGAAAAAGAGAGACATCCATAGGAGCTTGCAAGCATAAAAACTACAATTATGGACTTTACTTTTAGAAAAATTTGGGTCATTTCAATACTGAGTCATAAAATAATTTTAGACTATTCAAAAGGTTTTTTATATACATGCAAATCACGCTGCAAACACCTGAGATGTACTATAGGCACTTAGGGGGATCTACATCCCAAAGGGTACATAACTCAGTGAAAATGTAAACAAAATAAAGCAAAAAAAAAAGTTACTAAAAAATAAAAAGAAAGAGAGAGCAGTTTGATAATTTTTAGGCTCCTAAAAATGATGAAATTACTAATCCTAAGGGTTTCACTTCTGGGAACATAATTTAAATTGATTCCTCGCCCGCACACTACACTTAATTTTAAAATTCTAATTAATTTGGCTCTAATTCAGTTTCTGCTGGAATAGGTTATGTTATTGCATATCACAGACGTGTTTTCAATCAGGCAGCCCACAAAACTACTGTTTGTCATGCACACAGACTGTCCCAAACCACCACATATTCTCTTTGTCTCACCCTCATGCTCCCCTTGGCTATGAACACAGAGGCCAAAAGGGCTTCACAGTGCAAGAAAGTTCATGACCACCCACCTCAGAAAGGCTCATGGAAGAGCACCCTATCCATTAATTCAGCCGTCACACTTCAGGCAAGTAATTGCTTTCCCTCACTCAGTTACTGGATATAATCTGACATCTTTCAGGCCTTATGAACCTCATATACTTTTGCATGCTCATCAGCAAGTTTTTAAAGATAAAGCCATAGAAACAATATCACACTCATGGGAACAGAAACCAGAACAAGTTTTCATTCATGTTTATATGAATGTTAGCTAACTTCACAGCTTCTTGTTGCCTGATTTTATTCCCCTCACACATCTAGTTTGTAAAACGGGAATGAAAGGAGGAAAATGTTGTTTGGAGATGTTGTAAAGTCCTCCTTCTAAGTTAAATTAAAAATTTGACTGGACATGTCTGTGGTTGGCCCTGCTTTGAGCAGGAGGGTTGTACTAGATGACCTCCAGAGGTCCCTTTCCACTTCAGCCCTTCTGTGATTCATTGAAATGGTACCAAGTGCTCCTCAACCTCTGGCCAGACACTTTAGCAAGGGAACCATTCCAACCTAAAAATAACATGAAGCTGCAGGGTCAGCATGCAGGGACCACAGTGACAAGCACTATATGCAAATCTTTAAAAACAGGATGATCATACCAAATGATGAGGACGAAAAAACCTGCCTTTGGAAGCACAACTCTCGTTATCATAAATGGAACGAAGTTTCAGTTTGAGAATGTCTGAAGCTATATACTTTACAGAAAATGTTTTTTATTTCAATCTTCAAATGAAGACTGATGCCCTAAACCTGCAAGGATTAAGTTCCTCTTTTTTGCAACTGTGCTATTTTACTCCCACAATAAAACTACCACCGCAAATAAAAGCGGTAGAGATTCCAACAACAGCTTCCCAAACTTATAGACCTGGAAGTCATCATCCACTTTCATTTCTACTTTTAAATTAATCATTTCTCCATTTAAATTCACATTCTGCCTTCTGCAGAAACACTGTTTAAAGAATCCCTTTCTAATTCTCCTTTTTTTTCTTCCTCTTTATGCAACCTTGAATACCCCAATGGTGCAACTCCACTTAAACAGATAAGATCACTCCCGGGTGGACTGCTTAGACACTACCAGCACCATCTAAAATAGCCTAAGTACAACGGACAGAGAGTGTCTCCCTGTACTGGTTTGCAAAATGCTGCCACTGTTACTATAAAGCATGCACCACCATAGGGCAAACTACAAACCAAATGAAACTCTGCACAGAAATAATATCTCCAGGAGCTACAAAACAGACATGCAAACTTTCTTGTGCACTTCAACCTAAGAGCCACCTAACCGAGAGATTTTTGCTGTATCTTCCATTCAGAACAGGATTGCACCAGTTGTCTTACAAATGATAATCTCAAAACCTTCAGTTGTATAATCTTTGTCTTTTATCAGCACCGTCATTACAACATCTCAAAAACACTAAATAGCTGATCCTCATCCTGACATGTTACATGAACTGGAAATCTATGCCACAGCTACAAACCACAAGCAACTACTTCACCTTTTACCTATACTCCAAACAAACCACTACCACCAGAGAGAAAGGTTTACTCTGTCTCCCACAGTGCACTTGTCAATTCAGTTCCAGTACCAAGACTAGCTTGGTTGGGGTTGGCCTCTTCTGGGTTTTGTTTGGGTTTTTTGTCAGTTTGTGAGGGTTCTCTTTGTTTGGGGGAAGTTTGTTTGGGATTTTTTGCTTCTTATTTTTTTGGGTTTTGGTGTGGGTTTTTCTTTTTAAAGAATGCCTATGCAGCTTGGTCTCCTGAAGCGTATGAAGAACTCTGTACCAGATCTTCCATGGCACCTACGAAATTGGAGAGTCTCAATCTACCACACATTTCTTTTTATTCTACATTAATAACTGAACCACTTGTAGTATTGTCAGTAAATTCTAACACCCACTGGTATATTGACATATGCAGTTTATATTATCATCTGCAGGGAGGTGTTCAAGCCCAGGTGCTAAACTAACTACTAGTCAAAGCTTAAAACTGAAAGTTACCTGAGCATAATGTAAAAGTTTCTCTGTTGCATCAGGATCTTTGTTCCAGATTAGATTCTCACACAGCTGTAGTAATTCCTTGTGGATATCATCATACACCGGCAGACTCCCAGCATTCACAATTCCCATGTCCATGCCATACTGAAGAAAAACAGAGAATCCCCCAGAAAGGGCTGTCAGACATGGAACTGCACATCTGCCAAGTGCAAACACATGGAAGCCAAAAGCACATCATACCTTAATTGCATGGTAAAGGAACACTCCATGCATTGCTTCTCGAATGGCATCCATTCCACGAAAGGAGAAAGACAGATTGGAAAGACCTCCACTTATCCTGGCTCCTGGCAGTGTTTCCTATAGGAAATGCACACAGACTTTTAGAAAAGTGCTTTCCAAAAAGGAAATCTAAGCAAAGCATTCAATTCATAAAACAGTTGGCTCCTGAGCTCAGTGCGTTGGCTATGCACCCTTTGTCTTCCCTGTTCCAGATCCTTCCAGTTACTCATATTCATAAAAAGCAATTCAAATCTCTGCAGAAAAAGATATAAGTAAAGGAAAGATCCAGCCTAGTTCCACATAAGCAGCAACCGTGGTTTCCATAGACATAGGTGCTATTCTGAACGCATCAGTCCTCCCACTGCAGCTTTCCGTATTTTCCCCATGCAGACCTACTTTCAGCTTTTCCTTTCCCCACTCCTCTGGAAACAGTAGCAGCCAGCCTGCCTGCTTGCATGTCTCAGGAGCAGACTGCAGTTGAGCAGCTAAGCAGCCCCCCCTTCCAGGAGACCAGTGGTGACAAAATAGCCTGCTCAAGCCCCAGACTGATACTGACAGAGGATCTCCTGACCTATCAAAGTGTCTTGTGAAACCCAATAATGCAGTTTCCCTGCACTACTTCTATTTAGGTGATGCTCTTCGCTGCTGTACTTTCTTACACACATTTTAGCTAAATAAAAAGTCAAGTTCCTGCAAAAATCCCTTTCACAGAAACAGGAATTTTATTTAAAAAGGCAGTTTTCTGCAGCTTCAAAGAGGTCCTTCTAGCTAGCACATGAATGTGATTGTTACCTCACTAATTAAGGTAGTATATTTACAGAAGAGAAAGTGGATTAAAATACAGAACTACTTGAAGTTGTTCTACTGGAAATACAGTTGTATTGGGGAATGGTTGCACTTCAGAAGAATAAGCTAAGCTTATTCTTGCTAAGCTAAAATGTGTAACATTTTGCAGTGGTGTCTTGCTGTTGTTTTTGAGAGGTGGGTGTTTTTCTGTTTTATGGGGGTTTGGGTTTTTAAGTAACATTAGCACCCAATTTTAACTTAAAATAAGCTTACAACTCACTTTTATGGTTTTAGTAGCATTGATGAAATTTATGGCATAAAGGTTATGTTCTTCCATTCCAGTTCCTATGGTCAAGATATTAGGGTCAAATATTATATCATTTGGATTGAAGTGCACTTTTTCCACAAGGAGATGATAAGCTCTGGAACAGATTGCAATCTTGGTTTCTGTTTCTGTTGCCTAGTGAAGAAAAAGAATTCTGACCTGAAACTTACAGACTACACAAAAAATAAACTCTCCAGGAACCATTTACAGCTCCAGTGACTCAAGACTTAGAATCTGAACATCGCAAACATTAGAAAAGGATTGTATATACGACTTTTGTATTAAAAATATCACCACCCCTATGCCTGGAGTTGTGACTCAACTCATAAAAAACAACCTCATTGCTTAATGTTTCGTCATCCTATGCAAAGCTTAATATGTGGGTTTTGACATATTTAAATTAATTCACAAAGATTCCACTCTCATGCAAAACATAGTTTCTGAACTTAAAATCTCTTTTATGAAGGAAGAATTCAGCATGGCTGAATAGCAAGAGACATGCTCTTGTGTTAGCAGAGCTACACTTAAACAGTTACTGGATTCCTTAAACATGTGAGGATCATAAGAAATTGCTAGAAATCAGATTCAAAAGTATTGCTAAGGTTATACAGACCTTTTTGAATCAACTTTGTCAATGAAATAAAACAACTTTGTCTTGTACAAGAATAAGGAAGCCTCACAATCCTGAAAAAATACCTCTCCTTTAAAGCAACACTCACCTGCCCCACTTCATCAAAAGCCATAACAACCACGGCTGCTCCATATAATTTAATTTTCCTTGCTTTCTCCAAAAAGTCTTCCTCACCTTCCTTCAGGCTGATGCTATTTACAATGCATTTCCCTTGGCAACACTTCAAACCTGCTTCAATCACTGAAAAATTCGAGGAGTCAATGCACAGTGGCACCTGTAAATAACAGAGAAGTAAGGCAGGAGAATACATTCAAGTTATGGATTACAGTTCCATGTGCTCTTTGCCCATTTGGACATAAAAATCCCATAACACTAACTGGCATTTATGAATAAAAGTTTCCACATGATTCACTTTCCTTTAAATGCAAAACTCAGAGCAAGTTTAACCCAAGAGCTTCCATGGCAACTCAAGCACGTATCATATCGAGATCTCTACTTCTCCCTGTATTATCTTGTGTTTCTGATTGAGATACTCATTTTTAGAGAATGCACATTGCAGAACTACCTTTTAAAACCATCCTATATTCATAGCAACTTTAAGTTTTGTGAAAAGCAATACTGTTATGCACTGCAAATATACAGATTATGGCTCATAAGTGCTGCAAAATGAACCTGCATTCAGCTGTTCTAACCAGTGAAAAGGACTAGCATATACTTATCTGAAAACATACAATGTTAAAGCCTCTGTTTCACTCAAAGGCCTTCCCTATCACAGCACCTTTTCCTTTTGGGGAACAACTACATTTACTTATGAAGCACCTAAACTGGTTACTAAATAAAACGGTATTAACATCTTCTGAGGCAATTTACAACTCAACAAAATGTTCTTTATTGTGACTCAATTACAACCTTTGCAATATCAGGTTCTGAAGAAATCAAGTTACAAAATCTGGTCATTGCAGCAGGGCCATCCAGCATCCCATCATCCATATTGATGTCAAGAATCTGGGCCCCCATCTCAACTTGCAGTTTGGCTACACCTAGGGCTTCCTAAAGAACAAAGTCAAAAACCAAAACAACAGTCAGTAGCAGAAAATTCAAGTTTTTCTCAGGATAAGATTTCACTTCCCCAAACTAAGCATGCAGTCAAAAATTTAAAAGTTTGTAAGACATCCCATACGAAAATAAGGAAGTGGCCTCTGATGTACACCAGTACACAACAGTTGTTAATATGGGACAACTTATAACTAGTTTGTTCACAAAACATGACACCAGAGACCTAAAGTGCTGGTAGTGTCACTGCCTGTAGACTGTTGGTCATATGCTTAATTGAATGGTTTAGGATTTGCATGGTAACAAGGACTTCTGATAGCACAAGATTACAGGAAAACAGCCTCTATGATGGTATGAAATAAGGGTCTTGCATCACAACCTCTGTTTTTTTATAACACAGGGTACTTAACTTTTGGAGACTGACATTTCTTCCAGCTGCAAAATAATCATAACTGCTAAGAAAGAAAAGTAAAGCTTTTCCTCCAGCCTACATAGTTATCTGAACACTCATGTCTGGTCATTTTCTCTTTTTTGTCATTCTACAGAGTCCCTAACAACCTGTGTTTAAAGCTCTCTTTATTTAACAGGTCTAACCCGCTCCATGACCTCTATGAGCTTAAGAGTCAGACTCCCTAAAAAACAAAGGCAGTTTGATTGCATCAACTGTAACATCAGAACATACTCTGAGGCAGAGTCTCAGCTCTCAAGAGAACTTACTCTACTATTTGTTTCAGTGTTACAGTAACAATTTACACCAGTAAAGAATGAGCCCTTCAGTCTCTTCATTTCTGCCCTGCAGAGGTTTCAAGAAAGCAATTACTTTCTAAGCATCTTTTTCTATACCAACTCTCATGTAGCATGCTGGAGTCAGCAAAGTATATAACAATTAGGTGTAACCACAATGCTGACCAGGACTGGAGAAGTGAGGGAAAGAGCACTGACTGCACAATGTCACAGTCTATCCCAAAACAAATGTACCTCATATGCTGAGAGGGGATTACACCCACTTTCTTTATTCCCTTCTCTGTAAATCAAACCATAGATGCAGTACAGACCAGGACATTTTCTAAAACCTCATCAGCTGTATAACTTAATAAAAATGGAAAGTCATGTTTCCTGTAATAATTGTCAAAAAAAAAGTCCTTGTAAAACCCTTCTATAAGCAGCTGGTAAGCAGAGAAACAAAGAACAGTGAGAAAACAAATTTTCTGTGTTTTCTTAATCTTGTAACTGGTGTAGAATAGTACTTTGTGCCAGTAAAATAAACAACTAATAACACAGTGCAATGGAACAATGAAAAATAAAAGCATCAGTTATAAAGATTATTGTTAAAATGTTTACTTCATAGTTGCCTGCCATGATGAGTTTAGCAAACTTCCGTGATCCTGCAACATTGCAGCGTTCGCCAATATTAACAAAGTTGGTGTATGGTCCAATCCTGAATGGCTCCAGACCTTAAAAAGATATTTTTTAACATATTTTTAAAAACAGGAAAGAAAAACTCTGTAAGAAAGACAAAATCCCTTTTTTAAGCTGTAAAATAGAGGTCTGTCTCTTTTAAGAACAGTGATTTCTCAGCACATCAGTGCTCTAACGAGCAACTAGCAAAGCAATGCAAAGACATGAGTTCCAACATATATGCCTTCCTCAGTAACAGTCAGTAATTTACCTGACCCGCAAAAAAACAACAGCCAACTTGTCCAATATAAAAGTGAAGCTATGATTTTTGGACATCCGTGTGTATGCACATACACACCTCTCAACTTTCAACTATGTTACACCACGACTCTACCACCATAAGAGAAGCAGCAGCCCATTGAAATGAGTAACAAGTACAGCCCTTAACTACGTACCCAAGATCAGGGAAACAAGGCAAACTGGACCCTTGGGTAGCAGGCAATGCAGAAGCAAACAAACTACAGCAGAACCAACTAAGCTAATGCATGACATAACAGGCCAACCATGATTTATTTTGTTTGCACTAAACTGATTTGACTTTGAGATTAAAATAACAGACCAAAATGAAGGTAGTGTTTTACTTCAGCACATGGCTCAAAGGTTTAAAAGAAGGCCCTGACTATGGAACACAGAGATCTAAACTTTGCTAAAACAAAAGATGTCCTAGACCTAGATGTACTGCTGGAACACAGCTCCAGTATGACTGAATCAACATCTGAGGCAACACAGGGCAGCTCTCTCACAGTAGGGGTACCAGCATCTTGTCCCAGCTCTACCATTAACTACAGTCAAATTACCTGATCTCTCTGTGCTTGACCCTGCCATGTTGCAAGGTGAGGATAAAGATACTTCATCATTACAAAGTGACTGAGACTTGCAGAGTAAATATGCTGGCTTGATTATGTTATACGAGATTTCAATAAAATGTTCCATTAGTCCTTTGGTCAAAACAGTAAGATTTAGATCTGGTTACACATGCATAAGCTTGCTGGATTCAGGTAGAACCAGACATTCATAGTGTTGTTCTGGTCATCAGAAAACGGCTAATAAATTTATAAAGGAAACTTGTGTTAGCTATGAAACTCAAACTGTTACACTGTTTACCTGACAGCAGCATGTATCCTTGAGAGAGAGAAGGTGGAACACGAGGCTTACAGAATTTCACAGCTTCAGCAATTTTCCTGAGTTATAGAAAGAAGAAAGTAAAGAGAAAAGTTTTCAACTAAAATTAAATCACTCCAGACAAGAGTCAAACAGAACATACTAGACATATACCTATATTTGCAATTTAGTCCTGTAGCAGACAAGACTAATTAGCTATTTTCACTTCGTGAGGCCAAAGGCAAAAACATACTCCCAGAAGATCCTATCATAGCTATTTGCAGGGAATGTACAAGGCTGAAGGTTTTTCATATACAGAGATACTATAACAACGGGCCACTTGAAGGATATCAGAACCACATCAACTTTTACCATATTCACGATTTGCTGAGCTGAGCAATTGCTGATGACTGCAGCAAAACAACAAGGGACAAACACTGTTTTGTACTGAGAAAAGTTTCTCAGATGTCAGAATGACTCATGTTGCTCACGTTCACTTTTTTTTTCACTTCAGTCAAAAGTGACCACACAGTGTCCTCTACACCTTTACATGCCACTTCTTCCCAGTTTATATCAGGGTAAAAATGAATCACAAGGGTCCCTTCTTTTTCAGTCTTAAGTGAAAAAGGGACGCTTTCCCACCGACTTATTTCCAATAAGAAAGATATGAAATGCTCCTTCTGACTAGCCAGGACTAGCACCAGCTGTATGGCATTCGTAGATCTTCTGTTCAGGCATTTCCACAACACATCCACACAACTTCCTTCCTTCTAGCACTTTAAGCTTCACCTTGTTAAGATTGCCAGAAAGAGAATGGCACAAGAATGTAGAGATGGGAAGTCTATTCTATCCAACAGTATAGAGGGAGAAGTAATTCCAACACAATTTTAGATGACAAAACCACAGACATATAATCCTTGTTTGAGCCATGCCTCTACTCATTCTTCATGATACACACAACTATGAAAGTCAGGTTGTTCCCACTCCATATATTGCTGCTATTGGCATTGAAGTGATCCATCCCTGAGACAAAACATGAAATATTGTTCCACAGAAACAGCACTTAGTTTACTTCTCAGTCCACTATAAGCTCTAGCACATGAAGTACCTGATATGTGCTGGTGTAGTACCACAGCAACCTCCAACTATGTTGACCAAACCATCCAACGCAAAAGTCTGTAAAAGGGAAGGAAAGAGAATTTTGTTCCAAGTTAATAAAGGTATCTCTTTTAAAATATATATATATATATTTAAATATTTTTCTCCATCTGTTAAGCAATTCAGGGAGATCACAAGAAAAGCACTAAATTAAAAAACCAAAACAATCAGCACTATATCTTCTCTTTAGGATTTGTTTTGAGACATGGATTCCCAAGGCTAACCAGCAATTTCAACATCCAATTTTAAGAAACTACATTTGAATTTGGCCTATTTTATACTGAAGCCCCAGATGAAAACTTGGATGAGCATCAAAAACTAGTCATACTATATTATAAAAGGGCATTAACATGCAGCAAATACTGTGTTCTCACTGACACACTGCAACTCTGGACACACAGTTCTGTCTGCACAGATCAAGCGGCATGTGGAAGGACACCCTGCACTGGAACACCACCAATATCAGTGGTTCCTGTACACACAACTCAGTAAAATCCTGCCAGGTTCATAAAAAATGCTCAGCTTTTTGAACAATTCCCAAATGTAAAAGCAAGAACATAGGAGTGCAATGAGTAACATCTACAGATCAAGCTGCAGGAAAGCTTAGTGTACGACATGAAATTAAGTAGGGTTTTCAGAGTCTCCTAAGTAGTTTAGTCCTAATGTGATATCTCAAATCACTATCAGCAAATTGTCTATAAATAATCCAATTGACATATATAGCCACCTGAAGAAAAAAAACCAAACCACAATACTGTAACAAATATGCATAGAATACAAGCAAAAGTTCTTGTCTACTAGTATGTCAGATATGACAAACTCACAAGAAGTATTTCATACCTTTATGTGCTTGGCAGTCACTTCTGGAGTTTCATCATAACCACCAAAAGTATTGGGGAGACCTTGAAACATGATTTTTTTAGTATTACAATTTGTTTAAAGCCCACAAGAACAGAATTAAATTCCATAAAAGGTACATTTAAAGTAGCTACAATTATAAGAGGACTAAAACGCCTCATCATCCTTGCAATCCTTACTCAATGGGTTATTAATTATTTAAGAAAGCATTCTGGGTTCACTGTCATAGAACTAACAACAGTTACTTTCAGCAGTTTAAAATATTCTTACTCTCTTTTTAAAAGTAAAAACAATCATCTTTTCAAGCTACTTCAACTCTTTTATTGCTAATGAGACGGAACAGGTTAGTTACATTTCATGTGCCTGTAAGCATAGGAACATGTGCACCAACACACCTGCGTTGGGGTAACAGATGATGTAGGCTGGGGTACATTTTCCAATTGTTTCAATGAATGGACGCATTTCAACTGCCCCTAAAGCACAATTTAAGCCAATACTGGAAAATAAATTTTCAAAAATTATGTTGAAGTAAAAACACCTTTTACACACAAGACAGATGAATGTTAGTGCTGGCAACTGCTAACTCCCACAATCATCTAAAACAAAACCAACCTGATCTCCAATTTCTTTACTCATCATCATCAATACAGCAAGACTGCAAAAGGAGAAGCCTCAGGTGGAAGAAAAGTATGAGAGGGAAAGGGGTTGGACTGAATTGAAGTGGAAACAGTAAATCAAGATTTCATTTCAAAATCCAGGAGGAAAGTGGCAGCATTTTGACAGCAACTGCAGCAACACGATGGCTCTGTATTTTCTAGGTGAGAGAGAGAACAAGTGGAATGAGAAGGACAGATTGGAAAGAAGTCTTGTGCTACAGGAAAAAGTATGAAAAAAGGTTGAAAAAGCAAGACCTGCTTCCAGCTGCTAACTCATCATTTTCTTTTGAAATTATACATAAATTATGTCAACCTTGGAAGAGACCAAGAGCCACCCCCAAGATGCCTCATGGCAGCACTAAGCCTGGGCAACTGAATCTGCTGTATCTTAGTAACCAGGACAGCACTACAGCAGAAATATTTTTGAATGAAAAAGCTTCTTAAACAATTTTACCAGTATAAGAGATACAACAACATTTTCTTTCACTCAATGACAGATACATAAATGAGACTTGCACTCAAAATGTCTCCATTTGTATTAAATAAAGAAATTTCTCTTTCAGAAACTATGTAAGAGATCTTTTACATATGTTTCCTGATCTTTCCGTACCATTCTAGAAACCACCTTATGGGCACTGCAAAACTCCAAAGTGCTCATAGTGCTGCTGGAAGACAGAGAAAAGTTTTCTCCTTTCCTGGAATAACAGTCTCAGGCAGGATGCAAGCTAACCCACTGAAACAGGAATGGGTAACAGTCACAGCTGCCAAATAACTGAGCCACAGAGGCTGCCTTGGAGGTGGCCAAGTTAATTAAGTGCCTGTATACCCACTTAGTTTCACAGAGGTCAAAAGCAATAAAGCTCTGAACAGGACTGGGAGCACAAAATGAGTTTTGACTTTTCCCGTGTTTCCAAGGAGTAGGCAGGGCCTTGGTAAGTGCTCAAGTAGTAGCAATAAATGCTTGCAGTCAGATTCACCTGTTGAACAGAATGACAAATCCTTAAGATCTGAGGGACTCACAGGAACATCCAAACCCAGAGCCTTGAATATCAGAGTCACAGACCAAGATCAAATAATACACAAACCCCTTCTTCCAATAGCTTAGGAGTAAGGGAGCTGTTGTTTTTCTTTGGGGGGGTTGTTTTATATGTTTGGTTTTTTAAACATATATCTTTGTTTGCATCTTTTAAACAGCCAACCCTACCTTCAAAGTGCTTTCTCTAATACATCTCATATTGGCCAGAAAAACTTGACAACAATGCTTTTATTCTCATTTCCCAATTTGGTGTTTACATATATTTGAATCCATCATACAGATCCCCTGGATACAAATTGTATGGACAAGGAATACACAATTCATTACAGCAATGAGGCTCTGGAATTCATTCTAAGTGGGAGCTCATCCCTCAAGCTTTTCAAAGCAAAGCAAGGTAAGAATGATTAGCAAATGCAGACAAATGCAATGTATTTCTTACTGTTAATTCATTCATTTTACAAGCTTTCAGCTCATACTTCCCCACAATACAAACTGCCTGAATGATTACCCATTACAGAGGTTGCTGACCAGTATGTCCATGACCATGACACAATCCAAGCATTACCTGTCTCAAAACTGTAGCACAGACACGCAAATTCATTCAGAAACAAAAAGTAGCTTCTGTGGCCAGTATCATCTCCCCACAGCGCTCAACAACATCATGAAAGAAGATGTGAGAAAAGCAAACTGTTAACTATGCCTTAAGAGCCAGCAGCCTTGAGCCAGATTGCTGGTATGCCATCACTGCTACCCTAGTGTAATAACCATTCACACATTCATCTCAAACATCTCCTCCCTCCATTGCTCATTTCTTCACAGCAGTCACACATCAACTCCTAAGGCTGCAGAGTGCCCTTGGGACCAATACAAAACCCACATTAGGACCTGAAACTCAGTGTATGTCTCCTTAATGCTACCACAGTAGAAACAACCATAGGATCTCAACACATCTGAGCATCTTTCATGGCAAGCCGCTTGCCACACGTCTTTCAGCACTTAGTAAGCACAGTTCATGAGCTTCTCAGCTACCACTTCTATCAACCAGACATAATGCTCACACTTTTTAGGGTGGACTCCAAAACAAACTGACTTAAGGATGTCAAATAACACTAAAGAGGGCATAGAAAACCTAAATGGAAACATGTGAACACACATAACATGATTCCTAGGATACTACTATTAATCAGTTTTTTCACAACCCTAAAGCCACTCTGTACCGATCTGGCCATAGAAATAACATTGAATGCAATCTGTTCCCACTAAAACCCTTCTGCCACAGTGTTGTATAGTAGCCTTTACATAAATGAGAAACAGGCCCTAAGCATTCAGTCCCATAAGATAGTTTCCATGAAGTATGCTTTAATACATTCTTGATTTCTTCTCCAGTGCCCTTCTCTTGAGAAGCAAGAGTTAGAGAAAGATTATCTGAGACAGACTCATGTCAAATATGGATCACTAGGCTGTGATGCTGAGAGGAGTCAACTACTACGCTGTTCCAAGAGCCTCCATATGTTACTTCTGGAACACCGTCTGGTCTGGGAAAGTGGAGCCTCAAGGGCAGTCAGGAAAGCTGTGAATGCAGTCTTCTGCTTTTGTATCACTGAGATGACAGATTGTGCAGTTTAGCTGGAATTTTGTTGTAAAAACAAACAATGGCTCATCACAATGTGCACGGTGTGCACTACTAACAGTGACTTAGTGATCCTAGATAGAATACTCTAGGAAAAAAAATCTATTTCCTGTGTAAGTTTTTGTGTGAAGAACCAGCTTGAGAGTAAAAATGGTAAAGAGGGAAGAGGAGGCAAGAAGACGGTAGAACAGGATACAGAAACACAGAAGAACAGGGAAACAGGGAACACTATTCAAATGGACATGCAAAACCTTGTACAATGACCAAATCTGTCACATTACCCATTTGCGCAGAACTTAATCTCATGCTTATTTCAACTTTTCTGCCTGAACAGAAAAGAAGGCAAGTAAATGGAGGCATCAGGAGCTCTCAAAATAACTATGCACATCCTTGAGAAAAATACTCAGAGCACATTCTTGTAAGAGTTCGGTAAAAAGAACACTGTAATGATATCTTAACAATTTTCTCATTCAAGACAGCCAGAAACATTCCCAGCTGGCACTGCTTCCCTCTAAGAAAGAGATGTAAGCCCTGCCTGTACCAGGGATTGGCTCCTCGGACAACCCAAAACCAGTAGGAGATAGCAAACTACAGTTTCAGATTTTGACTTAATTGTGATTTCACTGTAAACACAAAACCCCAGATTATTTAAAGCAATTAATTAAAAATTCAGCTGACTTTAGAAACAATTTCTGCTGAGGGAATGACAGCAGAACATGTTAGCAATGCATATGAGTAAATATGATCAGAGTTTGTATAGCTTCCATTTAGATGCAAGCAGGGGGTTAAAATAGAAGAGAATCACAATCTACAGATAACTTACTAAAAGAAGAAATTATACATTTCCTTACCAAAGTGGCTTACTGTGGGAAACACTAATGACAAATGCCTCTCCTGTCTGGCCTGAGAGGGTACGCCCACTCTTATCCACAATGGTTCCAGAAACCTAAATATTAATTGAACACGGAGAAAGGAGAATTAAATGCACAACAAAATGAAGAACTTAAATGGTTGAACTGCTGTAAGTCAAAGCAGAGGGACCTGTGCTCCACTCAGATGGATAAGACACAACCCAAACAGAAAAATGAAACCTCATGCTACTTGAAAATATGGCAGACTTTGCTTAATTTCATCCTTCAAGCACTGGTTCTTTTTGTCCCTAAGACAGAAAGCCTGAAAAAAGAAAAAATCATCATCAGACCTTTCCTGCAGAAATACAAAGAATGAATACACACTGGACTGAAGTCATTCCTCAGTCTTCAGATTGATCAGCTGGACAGAGCTACCCAAGGCTGATTTCATAAAGCTCTTCATGTAAGAGGTTTTATTTTCACAGTCATGTGAAAAAAGTACATTTCCAATACACTAATTTCCTTCATTTCAAAGCACTTTAATCAACTGTCATCTCAGCTTATTCACAAATCAAGCTTAAGCATTTGTAAAATATTAACATATACTTACAAATATGGGTCGGGGAGCATATTCTTCTTCAAACAACATCTGGAGTGCAAAAAGAGCTGCCTACAGAAGAATATGTTGCAAAATATTAATTATGCTTTGGGAATTCTTCAGTTTGTTGTTTGGAAGGTTTTTTGTTTCTGTGGGTTTGCTGCCTTTTTCTTTAATTATTACTTTTTATGGCTGTTTATGCAACTTCCTGCCTTATATGGCCTGCCAGAACTTACTACACTCAAGAAGTTTTACCCTTACCCCTAACATTTTCTAGATGTTCCAAAACACATCTTGGTACCAAGTAGAAAGGAAGTATCACAGGGTAATCAAATAAGACCAAGACTATTCTGAAACCAAAATCACATCAGCAAGTACTTCTCCCTCACATCTGCAGCACAACCCTCACCCCAAACATGGTTCTATGTACTATCCTCAGTACACACTCACTGCCCTTTAGTCTGTTCAGATATCCAGTTCCAAAGAGTTCTAATCTCCACAAATTTTTACAGTAAGGACTGTAAGCGACTCCTCAGAAGGTCCTGAAAATGTCCTGCCTCCTTAGGGTAAGAAAGTTGCATGTGAACAGGAGCTCACCATAACATTAAGCCTACAGGTTCCTAGCCAAACCTCCATCATGACTGGTCAAATCTGCAAACGATAAGTCATGCCCCTGAATACATTAATAAGCCTGTGGCAAAAGTCTAAAGAAATGCCATGTGCACATCCAGCAAAACTTTTCCATGTAAAATTGCAAGACAGTTTTAAGCACTCTAACTCCACCACCTGCACTGAGCAGTTATTAGATAAAGAAGGAGGTGTCAAAATCACATGAAATGTGGCATATTTCAACATTTTCTTCCTTCTCTTTTACCCTTCTAAGCCTCTATTCCAATTGTTCTTTTTTAAACCTGATGTCAGAGTTCCCCCCAAAAAACACCTTTTAATAGAACTGTCTTACAAGCCTTCGCACACCTGCAACCAGATACACTGGACATTCCCTCTCCAGTGTGCATCACAAGCATCCTTTTGGCAGACAAGCTTATATAGAAAAATACAAACATCAGATGCCACTGGAGATGGTTTGCAATACAGCAGAGCTTCTGGGAATAAGCAGACAGCTGGCACAGACAGCCAGAACGATACAAATGGCATATATTAAAAGGCAAAGGAAGCATTCTGGAAAAGGCTGATTAAAAGCCATCTCCTCATACTCTACCCATTTGCTATCAACTGAAGAGTCTTTTCATGTATTTAGTAAGCACTAGCTGACAGCTCTTAAAAAATTTCCTTACTTGTATTACTGAGGTGGGTTTTTTCCCCGAAGTCTCACCTTAGCATTGGCGGTATCAAATATGGTTTCCACTAACAAGATATCAACTCCTCCATCCAAAAGTCCTTTGGCTTGTTCCTTATAGGCTTCGACCAGTTCATCAAAAGCTATAAAACAGGAAGGATGTTCATTTCATCTGAAGGTATCTCTTACAAGATCACCACTTAGGTTAAATAATTCAATGGTTATAAATACTTATGTTCCTGTAATCTGGTCTCTCCACAGATGGTGACACAGAGAGTGTCCTGTTTGTTGGACCCATGGCTCCAGCAACATATCTCCTAATTCCTAAACAAAGACATGGGAGGAGGAAAAAAGGGGAAAAAAAAAGAAAAAAGGAAAAATAAGGAAACTAAACAATTTACCTCTGGCTTTACAATGACAGTTAATATAAAATATCTCCAAGGACACCAAGACATGCATATCATTCAGACAGAAGAACATCTATGAAAAGGGCAATTGGCTCAATGAATTTTTCTTGTAAGAATCATTTGTCTCTGACACAGGAAACTACATTGAATTACTTTAAATGCACAGCATAGAACTGTCCTGGCATTTTTCACTAGACAACCTTATTTGAATATTCCAGCATGTGCCATAAAAAAACCTACTTCTTGAAAGCATATTTCAAATCTTACATTCTTATTGCATACCATAAATCACATCAGTAAGGTGTTATCTGGACAGCAGCAGCACTGTTAGCTTGAAACACAGTTTGATTGTAGAATACAAACAGAAATTACTAGTCTTTGAAAGACAGCATTGCCTACAGCAATAAATGAGCTAAAACCCCCCTCACATAACGCCTGGAAGATAAAAGACTGAACATTTACAGATGACAGTCACATACTAAGATTGTTTCAGTAGCTGCTGAATAAAGTTAAACCACTAGCCATACACTAGGATTAACTGGTAATCCATGTTTATCTACAATCAGCTATCCTAGTTTTGTAGTACAAAGACTTGTGCCGTACAAATCTAAGGAACTTCTAATGGTTCCCGCTGAGTTTACTTTCTCTAAAACACATCTGAAGATGTCTATCACCCACAGTCTAAAACAGGCACAGGACAGCTATCCTGCACAACCCATTAAGGACCAGATCCTTCAAACATGATGAAATTAGTGTGATATGAATAGAGATATAAAATTGCTGCTACTGTGCCTAACTTGCAGACATGCAGAATCTCATGTTATGTCCCCATCATATAAAATATCAAGCTATCCTCTTGTTAGCAACATTTCAAAGATTGTACCGAAACAGTCAGAACCACAAATGAGTAAGAAATTAAAATAAATACTGTTTACCTGTCTGAGCAGTTACAGTGTCCGCTGCTTTTCTGGCTACCTGTGCAGAGACTCTGTTTAACCGATATGCCTGGAACAATTCCAGAAAATTACTGAGCAACATTTAGTTGAGTACAGCCTAAGTCATTCTCAAAGAAACACAACACTTCATTCAGTAGCTCACTGTACAATCTGAGGGCTCCCCAGGTCACACAAATATATATAAGCACTATTACAGTGTTTCAAAAGGAACAGCTCTATAGATCTCAGCAACACAGTTACACGGCAGGTGTCATCCCACACAGGCCCCAGCCAACAACTGCTAATCATAAAATTTCAATCTGTAAGGTACTGATTAAATCCTGCTGAAGTCAACAGAAGCTGAAGAACAGGACTTTGATGATAAAATTAACCTACTTTTAAATTCACTTTTTATTCAAGTAGCATAATTCCAAGTATTTTCTTTCACATATTTCTTCAGATTCTTCAAAACAACAAAGAATAGGTATGACAAATGTAAGCCAGAAAGGACTTCTACACACACCAACACAAACAACGCACAAGTTGTGCTTCCAAGAAAAAAGCAGTTCCCTTGTGGTATGTTGGAAGGACTGAAGCAAAACATCCCTGTTCAGAGAACTGATTCTGTGAATGCTCAAACAAAATCTAGGACTAATTACTATTGCCTTTGTCAACAAGAAGCACGCTATATCTGTGAAACAGCAAGTACAATTGTCCACAGTTGTGGAAATGAGTTACAACCCCATCACATGGCTCAAGAGGCAGCATGCAGCCAATAAACACAGTACCAATGAACTCTGGGGCTATGCTAATCTTGGCTCCTGATAGGAAAAAAAAAAAATTTTAATATCTTAATATGTAAATAGTTCAGCATTCTTACCAAATGCTCAAGGCCATAGTCAGCCTGTGCAACTCGGGTGCTGCTGAAAGTGTTAGTTTCAATGATGTCAGCGCCTGACAGCAAGTATTCCTGCAAGATAAGAAAGAAAAAAGCTCCAAGACCTCCAGACATGAGACACAGAATTAAAGTAGCCCAATTCCTTTGTCCCATTCAGTTGATAAAGTCACAAATCATCTCCTAATTCAAGGCAGATCAAACTCTAAAGGCCTTATTCAAAAGCACAGGGCCAAAGCTATGGAAATGTTCCACGGAAACAATTTTCAGAATTTCAGTGTCAGCCACACTTTTCTATTAACAAGTGACATTTATAGAGTCACCTCTGCCACGAAGTCCAGCACCTGCAGCACATTCTAGATTTCTGCACACAGTCCAATTCCCACTAGCAATCAAGGGCTGCTGCGGGCAGTCTCAGAATTCCAGTTAAACAACAACAGAATACAAGTTTAGAAGAATTAGGTTTTGTGCAGATCTTATTTAAAGTTTAACTAATGGTCAAGATTCACAAAACATTTAAGCCTTCTGCTCCACTTTGATTGTCTAATTCCCACTGAAATAAACTGAAATCAACGCAAACTGAAATATTTTTGCAGATTCTTTCCTGCATTTTTATAACCTCTATCAGTTGCCCTCCCCCTCCCTAACTTCTCTTTCTGATCCCTTTGAATGCTTACATGATCCCTGCATATTCAAGGAAATTAAGACACTTGAAGTGCCAGTAAGTCAAAAATACCGATGCAGCCATTAAACATAAACCACTCAGACTTTCCTATAAGAGTAAGATGAACTCAGTGAGTTCAACACTGCAAATAAAGTCTTCATCCAACTGACAGCAGAAAATAATTAAACTTACTTTAAAACATATTTTTCTGCAAACAAATATGCTTTCTCACAGCTCCTCCTGAAAACGTATGAAAGTACCTACAAATATACAAGCTCTTACATGTCCACTAATAATCAAGTAATTAAGTTTCTGAAAAACATCTAAACATGTTAAATGTGTCCATCTTTTTACTAGATTTTGTTTAGTTCAGATCTGTCATTTTAGCAAAAGCTCTTCGACTTTACTGTCTACCACCGTAGAAGGAAATATGCTCAAATCAGGAAGAGAATTTTTGCCATTGAAAATATATCACATCTCTTACCTCTGAATCTGTCTTTGCCAGGCAAGGTACAGCTAACACTTACTTTTCAAGTTACTGATACCTCTGAGATCTGACTCACTAAGTCATTAATTAAATTTAAAAAAAAAATCCACCCACCATACATATAGTGGGATCATAGCTACTTTGTAGAAATATTTTCATCTATTATTTCAAGTTCCTTCTGTCCAGTTCTCAGAAGAAATAACCACTGGTAGCTGTAAAATATGAAGTCATCACCCACTGCTCAGAAAGCACCTGACCCAATAGCTGCTGCAGTGCTCTTACAGGCACTCGTCCTAAAGCACCTGTAACGGGCCATCGGAGAGATAACAGCAGGCTATCTGGTTTGACTGAACACATACATTCTCAAGTCACATCACTACTACTCCACTAAACCTGCAAAATTCAGTTGTTAAAGCAGTTTATCCTATTAAAACCACAAACTAATATAAAGTCCAAGGTTCCTGACCACCACAGCTCAGTTGATAGTGTAGGGACGGAACTCAGTCTACAAATACTTCCTCCTGAAATTTTTATAGGTCAAAGGCTGATTCTTTCCAGCTCATCATTCTTAAAATCCAAAGAATGACAGTTAGGATGTAAACAAAAATATACAGATTACCTGCTAAGTTTAACAAACATAAGCCAAATACGACTCTCATCAGTGAAATACAGATCTTGTTAATAAATAATTGGAAAAACCCAGAATAGATGTGAAGCTTCAACTGAATAACAAATAGATGCATTCAAGCATTTCAATTATTACAGTAAGACCTACAAATACCTGCAGCTCAATAAATACAACACTTAGGAAGTTGTCTTTTAAAGTCTAATTGAAGACAGGAAAATAATGAAATCTGTTTGCAAACTCCTAATCATCAGCAGTTTAGACTGTTTTATCCTCTGGGCCACACATTAGCATTCTAGGGAAAACCCAAGAATACGGAAGCACGTATACTCATTAGGAAGCCCATACATTCATTAACCATGGAGAGGCCTTCAGGCTGCCACATTTAACAGCTCTTTAATACACAATTATAGAAATGCATCTAGAATTCAGATATGTCCTAGTTAGATGCATTTCTAGCGCTGGCTGAGGAGAAGAAAAGGAAATAAAAATGAAATAAAACAGAATCTACAATTAATAGAAATACATTAGGGACATAAGTCAAAAAGGGATTTAAAAACAGCACTGCCTGGGTGACATCAGGAACCAAGACACGAATGCTATGCTCACACAACCAGAACAGTCAAATCTGCTCATTCTTTTTCGCATGGTTACCTAGCACTCTCTTCCCTATTCCCAACAGACGCAGGAGAGCCAGTAGCCTGTGGTATGGAAAAGGGGAGCACAGAGGCCAAATTCTCCCTCCTTCTCTTGTCAAGAGACAGAAATCAGAACCACCTACCTTGTGTATGTCACAGATTATATCAGGTTGAGTTATACTAAGAAGGTCATTATTGCCTTTTAAAGGCCTGGAATGATCTTTAAACTCATGCCCTCGGAAATCCTCTTCTGACAGGGCACGTTGCTGAATCATGGTCCCCATGCCTCCATCCAAAACCATTATTCGCTCCTGCAGAATGGATTCAATTTCATCTTCCACACTTTTCTGGGGATCTGTTGTAAGAAAATTAACCAAATATTTAAGTAGTTCTGAAATGCTCTATCTATACACTTGCGCAATTTGAGCTCTTCCCATTCGAGAAATGGAATAAAATAACTAATCCTCTACTGAAATCAGAAGTAATTGGTTTACTTCACCTACAGTTCCAATAACCTGACGTCAGGCAACAGCTGCATCTATCTAAATAGAATTAAACCCAATTGGTCCTTTACTTAAGTACAGTCACCTGTACACAATCAACAACAGATAAAATTATTATCAAAAGTTCACAAGGGCATACCTCAAACTCTCTATATAAACTTCCACCAGAGCAACATTTGAGTAGCAACACAGAGCTGCTCTTTGGTACAGACACCAGACTGTGCTATGCAAGTGCAAACCAGAAATTACTAAACTTCATTAAAAAAGAACCACACCTACTTTAATTGTCTAATGACAGAAAAAGAGAAATAAACTGAACAAGCAAAAACAATTCAACTGAGTCTCAAATTCACTCGAGTCCCAAATAACAACGTGGCAAACGCCAAGATACACCAACAGATAACAGCCAGGCTTTACATTCTTTTGCACAAACATAGCAAGACATTTTTCTCCTCCACAAAAAAGCCAGAAGAAAACAAAGCAGGCAAATCACATGCTAATTACAAGATACTTGACAGGGTAAATCTAACCATGACTGAAACAGAAAACTGTAGAAATTTCAGCGCTATCATTAGGAATGAAGATACAGTACTATAATGCTTCAAGATCCCAATCAAAGACCATTCCAAACATTAGAGAAAAAGTCAGAACTATAATCAGAGGCATAAAAAATCCCAAGCAAGCAAGCAACCAACCAAAACCAAACAATAAAACAAAAAAACCCAACCAACTACAAAAAAAGAAAACAAGACCACGACAAAAGTAATTCCACTTTTCCTCTTTAGAACATACACAGAATCATTTCAGAATAAAGACACACATACAGAATCACTTAGTGGGTCAGACTGGAAGGGACCACAGTGGGTCATCTGGTCCAACCTCCTTGCTCAAACAAGGTAATCCTAGAGCACGTGGCACAGGATTGCATTCAGACAGTTCTTGACTATGACCAGTGAGGGAGACTCCACAACCTCTCTGGGCAACCTGTTCCAGTGCACACTTACTCACACAGTATGGACGTTATTACTCATATTCAGATGGAACTTCCCATTCATCAGTTTCTGCCTGTTGCCTCTTGTCTTACTGCTCAGCACCATCCAGAAGAGCCTGGCTCCACCCTCTTGGCACCTTCCCTTCAGATACTTACAGGCATTGATAAGGCTGTACATATCACAAAATAATCAAACAGCCTCTTTATCAAAAACCCAAACTACAAGAGTAGGACCCCACTTACCTTTCACAAACACGTAGATGAATGATGTGCTATTCTTTATCTGTCTCCTTCATTCAGCTTGGGCTGACTCTAAGTAAAGACCTGTATTGCTTTCTGGTTATGAACTATCACCAAAAGCCTTGTAAAAAACTAATGATTTCTGAGGCACAAAAATATCCTTATATCTCATTACAACTTAAGTACAACCTAGTACTGCACACAGCAGTACTTAAAAATCACTGGCAAATGCTAACTGATTTGACTTTTTTCTTTTTGCATTCTTGCAATGCAACTTCTGTTTTGGCAACAGTACGGTTAAAAAACAATGTGATGAAGAGAAGCTGAGGCTAAGAGGAAAGCATTACAAGGTTACATGTATACCAATACTCTGGAAAACAGCTCTAAATCAGATAAAGTCTCAGCATGAAGAGAAGCCAAACAAAATTTGCTCTCTAACAAATATGAAGCATTTGAAGGGAGATTAAAATACTAAAAAGCAAGCCACCCTCATTTCAAGTTGAAAGTTTTAACACCACACAGGCAGGCTCAGCAGGTTCTTACACAAGAGCTTAAACCTACTCACGTTAAACCATCAAATTATTCATGAAAATAAAATTGGTCCTTGAGCTAAAGGCTTTTAGAAGCAAGACACAAAAAATCATATCTCAAAGCAGGTCTGCAATGCAGGCTCCCATGGCGCATAACTCGTGCTTTGCAAGAGCTACAGCCCGATGAGACACACACATACATTAGAGCTTGCTGCTGCTTTAATGAGCCTTTTAAGTCAACTCCTTGGCCTCGAGAGCTGCAGCTGAGATGGGCTATCAGAGCCCTCCCAGAACAAGTCCTGCTTTCTAGAGGCTTCTATTCCTTTTACCTACATGCTTCCTAACTATCTTCTCATAGACACAGGGAAGCAAAGATCTACCCTTTGGTTGTAATCCTGCACCTCATCTAGTCCATTCTGCTTTCTCTACAGCTTGCCTTGCTGAACGGATCCTGCTTTGGTGCATGGTTTTCTGCTCACAGGAGCACAGATCTCTGCCTCATCACTGCAAACTTAGAAGTTTCCCAAACCTGTGCTTCTTCATCAGCATCTCAAAAAGCTGCAGGAAATAGGGCAGGAATCATGAAGGCAGCCATCAGCACCAGAGATATGCAGAGCCTATGTTTTACAGATGGATGGCATAGCTCCAAGCTAACCAAAACTCAAATTACTTGTCCTTGCTATAGATAACACTCCACTCTTCTTCCGTCAGGAGCCTGCACTACTTGAGTCGTGCTCTGGCACACTTATGATACAGTTTTCAAGTCGGAAACTAAGTCTACAGACAGGTCAAAAAACACCCCAGAATTCAAAGAAGATTGATTCATAAAGCCATGCTAGGAAGTGCTGAACTCTGCCCTTGGAAGAAAAGCAGGGAGGAAGCAGGGAGGAGGCTGGGAGTCAGGTCTGCAAAAAAGCACACCATCATCTTAATTCAACATTCAACTCACGTAATTCCCCTCTCCAGCAAACAAGGTGCAAGAGTTTGTTACAAAACGAATGAAAAAAGGTCTGGAGAAATTCCTAAATTGGGAAAAATCAGGTCAGCCTTTTGGTTTTTTGTTGTTTTTGTTTACAAACCCTGATTCTACCTTTGCTGAGGCAAAAAAACGATTAAAAATAACAGGACCTAGGACCAATTACCTTGATTTTACACTCTTCTGAAACTTAAAATACAACACAGAGTGCTCTAGGGCTGGAACCATACCAAACAGCAGATCATACCAAATGAACAAAAACGTCCCAACAGCACTGGCCTGAAAGTCAGTGGGATACAGAACCCTGCTTCACTTTCCCAAGGTAAGTGCTCTGGCTTGAGATCACATGAACAAGGGGATTACTCATCTGCAAAAGAAAATTATCTGAGCTACAAGAACTTTTACTCCTTGTAGATCTTTCCAAGTAAATTTGCATAGCGCACAAGGTGTCTCTGGTAAAGCTTTTCACCCCTACGGTCATTCACTAACAATTATAAACTTTGCACAACTGCATGTAACCTTCCATTTTTCAAAACATAGCAATTAAACAGTCAAGGAGCACGGTAGATGATGTTCATTCATCTCCTTATCCTGATCCAATGATACACAGGCCATATATGAAAAATTAAAGGGATAAATGCATGTTCTCCACAAGAAACAGGACTTCAAAGGTTGCAAATTCCTCAAAAATACATTTTTCTGATGCCTGAAATGATTCTCAAAAGGTGTTGATTCTCAAAGGTGTTGCTTTTTTATTATTTATGCACTTCCATAAGTGCATAAATAATTATTTATGCACTTCCATTTATTCTTAGTATAAAACAGTCTGGTATACAAGTACTTGGAAGGGAATAAAGGACTACAAGTTTCTTGCAAAACTTTTATAGAGGATTGGCCTAGCTGTGACAGTGCTAAAGCCTTTTCATCACGTTAATGTGCAAGAACACAAATTGAAGAACCACATGGAGGGATAGGCACTTAGTACCCCCTATTTCCTAGGCTGACCAGCTCCTGTCTTATAGGGCAACAGGGCCATTCCACATTTGCACATTCTAATTCAACAAACCAGCGTTGCACCATACCAGCTCCAAGCACGAGTTTGCCCATCATTCAAAAAAATCACTACACAGTGGCTAGAAAGGATGCTCTTGCTATCAGTCTGCCACAGGCAGCTCATGATAACCTCAGCATTATTTGCTGTTTAATTAATTAAATCTTCTTCCACTGAGTGCCCTCAGGCAACAGTAAGAGTTTCATGAACTGTAGCAAAGGATGGCACATAGGTCCTCTGCAACACTGGGCAGCAGCACCCCATTGCTAAGTTATTTGTTACCCAGTCTATCCAAAGAGAGAAGCATTGGATTTTACCACTTCACCTTGGGCACCTGTGTGCACCTTGCGAACATCTTCTGTGTTGGCACTTGCCTTCAGAACCATTCAGGTCTTAAAATAACAGACAGACAAGATACCTCTACAGCCAATGTATTTACAAAGTTAGCTTGAAAGGCAAACAACTACCACTAAAGTCACCAAATTCTTAGTATAACAGTTCTGTTGTGTCCACTATCTCTAGCCAAACACGCAAAAACCATGCTCCCTGTGTTATAACCACAACTGTCCATCTTCTGACATTAAACTGTTCACAACAGATACTCATTACAGGCAGGAATCACCAGGAAACAAATCTTCTTCCAGATCAGCACAGCCTTTCTTTGTGGCATGCACTGCCCCTGAAAGGCTAGGGAGAAGCACTGTGCTCAGCTTCCCGATGGCCCACCCCTGAATGCAGGTCCTTTGTATCACTGCCAGATGAACACACCATTACCTACTGCCTTGTGCCTGCTCAGTGGGGCTCCGCAAACATCCCCAGCACACAATTTTTGCTTCCATCTACACAGAACTTCTCTTCAACTGCCACCACTTCTCCAGGTGCTGCTGAAATACCTTCCCATATCTCCCATTTCAGCCAAACCCATTCCATTCTGCAGCAAGACAGTCATGGCTTGACCCCAAATGACATGGGAGAAACGGCAGGGCAGGTCAACACCATCATCTTTGCCAGAGGAACCTGGAAAAGCCTCAGACCACAAAAGCTGAGTACGGAGTCGGTGCCGGTGCAGGCCTGTTCGACAAGCCAAGGGATGCAATCCCGAGCAAAGTACAGGCTCAGCAGCAGGCACTCCCTCCGAAATATTAAAAAGGAAAGTGCTTGGGATCTCTTCAGGCAGCAGCACTACTGAAAGCTGCCACTGACGGAGCTGTCCATTTCGAAATACCAACAACGATAATCAGCAGCTGCAACTTTACCTATTCTCCCTTACTTATCCTTACAGGACTTCTGTTCAACCCGCGAAACGACACTTTTGGCTTAGAGCCCCGGAGCAGCTGGTGGACACCCAGTCCCTACTACCGAGCTCCGGTTTTTATTTTCTCGACATAACTGTGTCGGCGGACAGGGCGGTGCGGGTATCCCTGCGGTACCTCCCGACCCGTTCCTGGCAGGGCGCAGCTGCTCCAAGGGCCCGGCTCAGGGCCGGGGGCTCCGCCAACAAGAGCACTCGCTCACTGCCAACACCGACTCGCCACAAGCGGCTTCTGCAAAGGTTACAAGCGATGCATAAGTGCCGCCCCCGCCTGCACCGAGCCGCGGGCACCCCCAGAAGCCGGAAGGAGGGCGCGCCCACCGCACCCTCACACACCGCACCGCCCGGCGCCGCCGCCATTTCCACCACCCCCCCCCCGCCCCCGCGCGCCTGGCGCTCGCAGCCGTTACCGGGCGGCCCCGTGGGCGCCATCGCTGCCGAGACGTCACCGCCCGCGGCCGCGGGGCCCGCGCGCAGCCCGTGACGCGCGAGCTCCGCCCCGAGCGCGGGCAGGAAGCGCGCGCTGCTCTTGGCCCGAGGGGAGCGTGGTCCGCCTGTCACGCGCACACAGACAGACGCACAGACAGAGACACAGACAGACACATAGACACAGACAGACACACAGACACACAGACACAGACCGGAGTCTGGTCTGCGGATAACTCACCTAGTGCTACGTGCCGACACAGCTTTAGATGGCCCCGGGGGGATGATTTTGGATCAACAAGATGAACTGTTCCTCATCTTGAGGGAGAAGTAGGGCGGGGATGCGCTGTAGGGGAATAATTCTTTCGAACGCAAGCGACAAATGTGCTGCAATTATAGGCAAATGTAGTGTTGAGAGGAAACGTAAATATGCCTTACATAAACTGGAAGTCGGACTTGGCAGCGGTGTATGGATCCGTGTTACTGGCATGTAAACCTGGAAACAAGTTTACACTAAAGGATTTAAGCAAATTAAAGCACAGTTTGCTTGACAGTCGAACAAAACGAAATGTGCCTCATTTTGACACAGGAGTTTCTCTTCTGGTGATACATCCTTTCAGCTTCTTATATGAGGACTCACCTTTTAAAAGAAAGAAATGCCTGCCAGAGTTGCAGAGCGGCCTTGCAATCACGACACCGTGTAGTGAATGTGTGCTTGCCAAGAGTCAGAACAGCTCAAGGGGATAACCATTGCTCTCATTTCATGTTAGTAATGCAAGTGCCAGTAATAAACATGAAGAGCATTGTCATTTAAACGAGTTAAGTAATCAAAATGGGAAAAGAAGGGAGTCTGTAAAATGGGTTATTGACCAGCCTTTCCTGTTTTGCTTGCAATATTATTGCACTGTAATAACTTAAGCAAGCAAAGCAAATGGTCCAGGTGAAGATGCAGGGACCGCTGGTTCTGTGTTAACAGGAATGAATGGAGGTTGCTTCCCTCCTTCAGGCACCTGGGCGTCAGCTCTGTGGGGCAACAGTAGAGCCTTCTATCAGCTCAGAATATGGGTTGCTACTTAATAATGGCTTCCGCATTTTCCCCGGAAAGTCTTTAGGGGACTCAAAATTAATTAAAAGCCGTTAGTGTAGATGATTCCTGGAGGCTAAATATTTATTCTTGAATTTTCTTTTGAGACACAGAAACAGTGGTTACAAAGTCTTTGAGTACAATGTGATCTAGGAACTTTTATAATCAACTGTCACTTTGGCCAATAGTGATTTAAGTGTACAAAAATATTGAAAATTTGTTTAAACAATGTATATGCCTAATTCATTTTCAAAAAAAATACAGGCAGCCCACAAATTAACTAGACGATAGTCCAACTTCAGTTGTAGAGGCCATGCTCTGGTTTTGAATGACAGGAGACGTTGGAGAGCAGACCTTGCCTGTCAGCAAACCATTGCAGTGGTCAGCTTGAGCTCCCACTGCAAAATTCCAGTGTAAGATGTGGTAATCTGGAAATGCAGTCTTTAAAAGCCTAACAACAGACGTCGAATACACTAAACAGAAGCAAAAGTTAGGTACTCCTAGAGAGTTCTTGATTTCATCCCTTTTAAACGTAATTTGCTTATATTACAGAGATGGACAATGATTTGAGAACCATTCATTGTGAGATTTTAGGGTGTGTATTTCCTTGCTTGACTTCTGGACAGCTTCCAACCTTTTTGTCATGCCACATAACACTATGAAAATTTCCTCTGGCAGCAATTCAGGTTAAAAAGCTCGCTGTCTCCACAGTTGCTTTGTGGTGACAGATCTTTGTACCACAGCTCAGCACGTCCTTGCGTTTGCTGATGCGGTTGTTTGTGTAACTGCTGCAAAGTAGGTCAGTGGGGAAAAAAAAAAATGCTGAAAATCTGAAGGTGCTTTTGAAAAGGTTCATTTCAGATGTCCCATTTCCTTTGCAGTTTCACAACCAGAGTGAACCAGTTTGACTGTGCAGTGCTATGAAAAGTCAGTCCCAGATTCCACCCTGTGCCATCCTACTTATTTCCATTCTTTTGCTTGACCACAATTCTTCTGTAAAGGTCAGTTTTCAGTGGAAACAGGTCTCTGATCCAGTTCATCTGCAGCAGAATGGTCTGCAGAGCTGACACAGAAGCAAGATACACTCGAGAGGCTGAAGGGAAGAGGAATGAGTGGTTAAAGGTAGTGTTCGTCAAACCAGACAGTCCAACAAAGAAGTATCAACACAGAACTTCAACCTGAAACTGTTTTGCAATGTTAGAGAATCTCACGTCCCTTTCCTTGGTTTAGTTTCAATGCTGACAGTATTGCACAGTGCTTGAAACCTGGAGCATATCCCTACCCTGAGGCTGACACACACCTGCAGTTACCAAAATTTTTGAGCTGTTTCTTTGAGAATCTCTAATACATGGTGCATTTGCAGGAAACGTTCAAGGATTTGCAGTGAGCATGCCCTGAAGCTTGAAAAGTGCTTTTTCTTTGTCATACAGACCATTGTTCTTATTTTGCTAAATTAGGCTGTCAAAATACATTTAATATGTTTAAAGCAATACCAGGAGCACCTTAGAGTTGCAGAGCAATGGAGTAAAGCAAGGGAGAACACAAAGATGCCAGCATTCCCATGTGTGAGGAACCTGACCTTAACATTGTTGGGAATTAGTCCTATTTAAACACCAGATGCAGACATGGTTTCACTCATGCAAACATCTGTCATCATGGTGAGAGTCTGGGTTGCTGAAGGTGGTTATAAGTGGTGGTTCAGTAAAGCTAACAACTTCTTACTTGCAACAAGATTAAATCCAAATTAATATCCTTAGCAAAAAAAATTAAAAATCTTTACGTGAGACCAAGTCCTGGTATTTCAAGTATATTTGAAGGTATTTTCAAAACACCACTTTCCCCAACTCCTCACACACACACAGCGAAACTCACAGATCTTTTAAAACCAGCTAGCAT